CCCCCCCGAGGGCGCTTCGACAGACGGGAAAACCGCCGCGCGCCCCGAGCGCACGGCGGGATTAAAAAACTCCGAAACCCTAAAAAAAATTCGCCGCGCGCTCCGCGCGCGGCAGGAAGAAGGACTGCAGCGGAAGCATAGGGGCCCACAGGCCAAGGGAGAACGGGCTCTGATAACATGTTAGAATAGTAGGAGGTGGGGCCTAGGCTTAGTAGCCTAGGCCCACACTAGGAGGTAGGCAAGGTGCTTTAGAACTAGGACTTAGGGTTTGGGAAGGAGAATTGGAAGGAAGGAATGATGGACTAGCAAGCAGCAGGACACACAAATAGAAAACCCTAAGGGGTTGTACTCAGTATTGAGCACCCCACTGCAGGCTAGACAAATAACATTCTGACATATGTATCTCGAATCCTATAGTGAAACCACATTCTCCAATTTCTCCTCTCCAACTCACTCGATACCTCACCCTAGGTGAAACCCGCTCGATACCTAGTTAAGGGCCTAGGCTACTAAGCCTAGGCCCCTCACCTTTCAACTTAATCTACTTTAACTTTGACATGGTATCAGAGCTGTTTTCGTCCTGGCCTGTGGGCCCGCGTTACTCTTCCGCTGCTGAGATTTTCCGGTCGCGCGCCTAGGGCGCGTGACGATTTTAGTTTTACTTTGTCCCGCCCACGGGCGTGTGACTCCTACCCTGCCCGTCGCGCGCCCCGTGGCACGCAACGGTGCCCTTTATCTGCCCATCGTGCGCCCCGTGGCACACGATGGTGCCCTGCTCGTCGTGTGCCCCGAGGCACACGATCGGGCCCTTTTATCCTATCCGTCGTGCGCCCCGTGGCACTGGCCCGCGACGGGCCTCTCCGCCCCTGCACTCCCTGCTGCCGCCCCCGACCCATCTGCACCGACGCCTCTTCGCCGCTCTGCGGCTTTCTTCCTTCCCACCCCCCCCTTTCTCTTGTCTCCCTGCAGCCGTGGGGAGGAGGGTATGGGGGTGGAGGGTGTTGGAGCGGTGGGTCAACTCTCTCCCTTCCCCTCCTCCTTCTTTCAGTCCCACCACTGCAGCTGCTGCTGGGGGGGGAGGGTGTGAGGATGTGGGTGAGCAGGGGGAGTGGTACCGGGGTGGCGGGTGTGAGGCAACAAGCAGCCGTCTCTCCACCTCTCCTCTCTTCCCCCTTTCTCTGCTACTTCTGCAGCAGTGTGGGGGAGGGGAAGGAGGAGGGTGAGGAGATGGAGGGGGTAACCTTTCAAAGTTAGCCCGCCTGCAGTACCTGCTGTTGCTTGTTTTATTGCTCGTTGGTGTACCTCTGCAGGTTGTGCTCGACACTTAGCTATTCCTGCATGCAGTTACGGGGGGATGTCAAAATTATATTTATTATAACTGCATGAAGTTCTAGCTGTAGTGTAGTTATTAAATTTGTAGGTGGTGCACCCCTTCATGTGTTCCTTTGCTATATGTATCTCGAATCCTATAGTGAAACCACATTCTCCAATTTCTCCTCTCCAACTCACTCGATACCTCACCCTAGGTGAAACCCGCTCGATACCTAGTTAAGGGCCTAGGCTACTAAGCCTAGGCCCCTCACCTTTCAACTTAATCTACTTTAACTTTGACACTGATGCCGCAGGTGAGGAACGCTCTCTTAATCAGGTCGGCGGGCACAGCTTTCCACGCCCGTGAAATCCACTTGAGCACCACCTCCGGAGATGGTTTCTTAATGTTCCCTGCACCACATACACGGGGGTGGGAAACACGTGGGTAAACAAGTAGGCAGACATACAGACGAAGCGGTCACGGGAGAACACTTTTGCGTACCTGCGGGTGTCAGGATGTTCATGCCGTCCTGCTCGAACCAGGTCTGGTACTGCTGCCGAACACTCGCCTTGAAGCTTTTGTTGACCGACACATCGAGCGGCTGCAAGTCTGCCGTGCATCCCGCTGGGATGACCGCCGGCACGATGTTGAGTTCCGCGAACTTCGCCTTGACTTCGGGTGTCAGGTGTCCACGATAGGAGTCGAGCACTAGCATGGCGCTCCGGCTCTGCAATCCGAACTTCGGTTTTAGGAACGGCACCACGCCTGCACCGAGCCACTCGATTACGCCCGAGGCCTCCATCTACCCGTTAGCTTGGCAACCGACGACGACATCTGCATACAAGCAAGCGGTGGTTAGATTTTACTTTTGTTCTTCCCCTCGGAAACACGCGCATACGCAGTTTCTTACCGTTCGGAAAGTCACCCTTTGGGAGGGTCTTGCGCTTGAAAAACACCCACGGCTTCAACTTCTCGCCCGTCGCCGTGCACGCCAACATCACAGTGACTCTCTCTTTCTGGTAACCAGCACTGCGGATGGGCACCGACTTCACGCCCGTCTGCTCCACCGTAGTAGTCGCCGGCATCTCCAGCCACAAAGGCGTCTGGTCGGCATTGATGATGTAACGATTGTCGATGTCGTATTCGTGGCGTGCGTCGCGGACAAACTGCCAAAAATCCTTGCACTGCTTGGCCACGTCTGCGCACGGGGAGGGAGGAACGGTTACAAGGGCGGATGAGCACCGCTACAGATAAACAAACACGGGCAAGAAAGTACTGAAATGCAAGATAAAATTTCACGATAGGATGACAGTGCACGGACAGGCACTTACGCTGCTGTGTCTTTTGCGCCACCTTTGTTTTCATGCGCACGGTGAGATTCCACCGCTTGCGGAACCGCTCCGTCCAGCGCTGACTCGCCTTCCACTTGACATCTGGGAACAACACCTTCATCACCTGTTTTGACCACTCTTGCAGCCGGCCGACTGATACTGCCACACCGCGGCGTCGCCAGTCCAGGAGTTGGGCGTACACCTTCATCTCCATGGGTCTGTACCAGGAAGACCTTCCGCGCCCATGAAGTCGACACCGAGCACTGTGTTCAGCCTTGAGCTCCTCCGCTTGGTTTTTCCACTCTGTGAGGCATTTGCGGTGTATGCCGGACTCCCGCGCGACCTCGCTTACCGATGCAGCAAGCTCCAGCCGAACAAGCCACTTCAGTTTCTCCTGGGCGGTGTAGCGCTGCCGTTTGTGTTGAGTCGGCTTGTGCCTGGGAGAGGGGGGGCGGGCATCTCGGTTCTCAGAGGAGGGGTGGGGTCGTTTTTTGTTAATCGACGGATACGTTGGTATCGGCATCTTCTCGCGTGGTGCGTCGCGCCACCAAGACTCCACACCGTCGTCGTCCGCGTTTGTAGCTTCACGATCTGGGAACACGTCCTCCTCGGCGCCCTCTTCACCGTCGACTCCACCGTCGTCTCCAGCATCGCCGTCGCATGTGGGTTGTTTATCGGCGGCCACGTCATCGTCGGCGCCCACAGCCGACTCGTCCCACGTGCAGGCTTCAGGATTTTCCCACCGAGGTGCAGTCGGCGTAGCATTGATTTGCCTAGCCTTGGGTGTGTCCGGTTCAGACAACCACTCGTCGAAAGTCGCAGGCAAATATAACTGGAGCACGGGCCGATGGTGACCCCACGCGTCAGGAACAGGAGTCGGAGGATTCGGAGGAGCGGGAGGAGTAGGAGGAGCAGGAGGTGCAGGAGGAGCAGGCGGAGCAGGCGGTGCAGGGGGTGTAGGTGGCACTGGAGGCGCTGGTGGCTCACGTGTATACCACCCGTCCGAGGTTAGTCGCCAGGCGCGGGTTGGTTTCTTCTTGAAAAGGAGGTGCGTCCCACTGAATTCCGCCATGGCTTTGCCAGCCAGGCGGGCTAGACTAGAAACTGAATGAAAAAAATGAGGAGGAGGGTGCAGAAATGGGCAACGTCAGGGACCCCTGCGGGCTATCTGCTCGGGGTCCTCGTCAATGACAGGCAGGAAACCCCCGCCTACCCCCGTAGAGGAACCTGCGTGGCAGCATATTCGCTGAGGTGGCAGGGAATCTTCCCCACCCTTCGAGAGGGTTCGGAAGAAATGCAGATGCCACGCAGCGCATGCGGCTGTGATTGGGCCGCACGGCAACATCCCCGTCACTCCTGTCACGTTCGATGGTTCTAGACAACATTGTGCGGTGGGAAACCGAACCGCAGCTGTTTTTGCCTGAAAACCATGCACGATCCCACTTGTTGCATGGTCCGTTGGATTCGCCTTTTTGCGGGCTTCAGTTTAGTATGTTTCAAAGTGAATTTCATTTTTTCCTTATTATAGGCGCATGCGCTTATACAGACACCTCAATTAGAAGCGCACCCCCCCAAGAAACATTGTTTTATTATAAGCGCACCTGCGCTTTTATCCGGGGTAATACGGTACAAACATGCACAAGTAATCTAACTCTTATGAGTGGAAATAAGAAAATTCCCTACTCTATGTGGTAACCTCCAAGCAATAATAGCTCTCCGTGAAGAAAACACACCGTGTGACATTATACTGAGGTGACTTTTGACAGATAGCCTAGGTGTCATGCTGTTGGTTCGCCCACTTTCATCATGCCCCCATTCTCTCCTCCTTAGCTTCTGCCATCATCGCCTCTAGAGCATCCACATCTGCTGGAACTGCCGCTGTCAGATTCTGCAAGACGTGGAGGGAATGGCGTGACACACATCAGGGGGGAATGAATTTATGTAGGCGTAGTGCCGTTGATGCCACACACCACCAGTGCCACCATCAACGCCTCTACAACATCCACATCAGCCACAACAGGAAAGAGTGGCACAGTGGGAATGCCTGACAAAAAAACAGAACAAAAAATAAGAGCCTGCACTGTTTGGAAATATTGAATGTACTTGTTAATACCATTCACACCCTGCAGGGTATGAATCCTGTACTTGTGATACGCTGAATTCTCAAAACTCAGCGCACTCCGGGTTATGAAAGGCCGAGTTTCCACTTAAAACTGCGATGCAAGCAAACTTTGGTGCAAGAACTGCTGTACACCTTTTTCAGTTGCGCAGCAATCACACAAATAAAAAATAAGCTCAAATAAAAAATTCTGATAGATGTGTAGATGAATAGATGTGTTTGCAATGGCAACAATTACCTCATAACCGTCGGCCGTTATCAAAATGTCATCCTCTATGCGCACGCCTATGCCACGCAGGCTGAGGGAGTGAAGGAGACGGAGAGACACACACGGTAGGTGAAGGAGACGGAGAGACACACACGGTAGGGAAAGGATGCAATGAGGAGAACAACTAGCAGCTTCAAAATGTCATCCTCTATCCGCACGCCTTTGACCCGCAGGATGGGAAAGTGAAGGCGAGAGACAGGGATGAGGGCGGGTAGGTTGGAGAAACTGAGTTGCAGAAGTGGTTTGAGTTTATTCAAATCGCATCCGAGGGGGACAGACGGGGGAGTTGAGGGGGTTGGCGATGGGAAGACCAAATTTCCATGAAAGCTTAAGAAAGACCGACGTTAACCATATGTCCAGCTGGGGGAGAGAGGGGGGTGGGGTGGGGTGGGGTGTGTGCACTCCAGTCTCCAATACCAAACTCAGTGCTTCGGCACTTGGTCAACAAGTGGTTTTTCACCGTCCATAGTTAGAAGCAGGATTACAAGCAGGGGTTTGGAATGATGGGATGGGAGTGACTCACTGTTTTGGCACTTGGTCGATGTCCGGGAGATAGAGGCCTGGTTCGATTGTCAGCACCTGGGATTGGGGAAGCACGCACGCATGATCACGAAAGAGAAGTGCTAATGTTCGACAAATGTAGGGCCCGACAGGTTTCGAATGTGAGAGGAAGAGAGCAATGCACAGTCATGTGTGTCCAGCCCTGGCCAGTGCCATGCCATGCCCACCACTCATGGCACCATCTTTCCATGCATGCGACCCTAAACCTTACACCCAAAACCTTGATACCGACAAGGTTGACAAGGAAGAAAGGCGGGCTCACCACACCAGGCTTGAGTTTTGAGGCGCCTCAAAAGGCGGGCTCACCACACCAGGCTTGAGCGGCTGAAAGGAGGAGACGGATGCACAGTCGTGTGTGTCCAGCCCTAACCAGTGCCCTGCCACGCCCCCACCAGTCATGCTACCGCCATCCATGCATGCATCCCTAAAACCTAACCCTCTACATTGATATTGGGAAAAGGGGAAGAAAGCGAGCTCACCACACCAGGCTTGAGCGGCTGAAAGGAGGAGACGGATGCACAGTCGTGTGTGTCCAGCCCTAACCAGTGCCCTGCCATGCCATGGCACCATCCATGGATATTCATAGCATCATAAACCATGTCAACGCCATCCATCCCACCATCCATCCCACCATCCATCCCACCATCCATCCCACCATCCATGCCACCATCCATGCCACCATCCATCCCACCATCCATCCCACCATCCATCCAACCATCCATGCCACCATCCATCCCACCATCCATGCCACCATCCATCCCACCATCCATCCCACCATCCATGCCACCATCCATACCACCATCCATCCCACCATCCATGCCACCATCCATGCCACCATCCATGCCACCATCCATGCCACCATCCATGCCACCATCCATCCCACCATCCATGCCACCATCCATGCCACCATCCATCCCACCATCCATCCCACCATCCATGTCCAGCGCCATCCATCCCACCATCCATCCCACCACCCATCACACCACCATGCCATTATCCATTCCATCGTGTCATGTCACCCTCAACACATGCAAAAGACGCATACAGCAGGTGAACCAAGCGCACGTTGTGATGGACTTAAAAGTGTTCAATTATACTTTGTTCAAGGAGGTATTTGGATTACTTTTACTCTCAAAAACATGTTCCGCAGACCAGCCAGTGCCTTGATTGGAGCAAGACTGCGAATCTATTAGCAATGCACATTCGAATGCTTGTGATTCACTAAATCATTTGCCTATCAGTTCATAGGGTGCGGAGATTTGAGTGTTAAGCTTCCTTATAATACTACAGTAGCGACTACAAATCAGTGAAGTTAACTTCAGAGTGCGGAAATATACTTAAAATGAGCAGGATGGGCTTGAAAAGAATGACAAGAGTCAAAGTTGAGCCTGCTAAAGAAACGAATAAGACCAAAAGCGAATCTCAAGTTTGAAGTCTCACCAACAGCAGCACATGAATCAAACCCTACATCCGAAGCCTCACCAACAGAGGTCGGGTAGAACTGCCGGAATGCTCCTCTTGCCACCTGCTGTGCCGAGCCCTGGCACACTCCCAGCTGCACCAAGGCTGATGAGAGAGATATGACCTGGTGGTTTTAGGGGCAGTTGAATGAGGATATATTTAATAAGTCGATTTAAAACCCACCTCCCGCCACCTGCTGTGCCGAGCCCTGGCACACTCCCAGCTGCACTAGGGCCGAGGAGAGGGATATGACCTGGTGGCGGTGGCAGGGGGGTGGGTGGGTTACAGAGAGTCTAATGAGTCCACCTCACACCACCTGCTGTACCGAGCCCTGGCATACTCCCAGCTGCACCAGAGCTGACAAGAGAGATGTCACCTGGTGGTTCCAGGGGGGGTTGAATGAAGAGAATAATATGAGTCGATTTTGAACCCACCTTGTGCCACCTGCTGTGCCGAGCCCTGGCACGTTCCCAGCTTCACCAGAGCCAAGGAGAGGGATGTAATGTGGTGGTTCCAGGGGCGGTTGTGGACGGTGGACGGTGGTTTAAAGGGGTGCTGGAACGTGGTGGTCAGGGGTTGGAAGGGAGACAGCTGGAGAGGAGAGGGATGGACCCGAGCCCTGGCACACTTACTGCCAGTCAATGCTGCGAGTCAGTGCTGCCCCACACCATGCAACTCACCATGCCCCACACCATGCAACTCACCATGCGACTCACCATGCAACTCAACTCACCATGCCCCACACCATGCAACTCACCATGCCCCACACCATGCAACTCACCATGCCCCACACCATGCAACTCACCATGCCCCACACCATGCAACTCACCATGCCCCACACCATGCAACTCACCATGCCCCACACCATGCAACTCACCATGTGAGACTCACCATGCAACTCACCATGCCCCACACCATGCAACTCACCATGCCCCACACCATGCAACTCACCATGCGAGACTCACCATGCAACTCAACTCACCATGCCCCACACCATGCAACTCACCATGCCCCACACCATGCAACTCACCATGCGACTCACCATGCAACTCAACTCACCATGCCCCACACCATGCAACTCACCATGCAACTCACCATGCCCCACACCATGCAACTCACCATGCCCCACACCATGCAACTCACCATGCGACTCACCATGCAACTCAACTCACCATGCCCCACACCATGCAACTCACCATACCCCTCCCCATGCCTCTCCCCATGCTCCTCCTCATGTCCCTCCCCATGCCCCAACCATGCCCCTCCCACCAAGTGCTGTGCACGTCCCTCAGAGTTGCTCCCGGCTTGCACATGGCAATGCACCTCACATCACCAAATACGTGCCTGTGCTGTGCTATCCCACCCACCCGCCCACGCACCCACCCACCCAACCACCCACAGCCATTCCGACATGTCATCCCACCCACCGAGTGTTGGTGAATGTCCCTCAGAGTGGCCCCCGGCCGGCACATGGCAATGCACTCCACCATCGCCTCCCGCACCGCCTCGTACACTGCTCTCTGCCACGTCAGCACACGCACAGGAGGGTTCGATGCCACGTCAGCACACGGCAAAGGTACTCTGGGGGGAAGCTGCCGAAGGGCGGGCAGGAACATGCGCGCGACGTGAGAGGCATGGCGACATGAGAGGCATGGCACGAACAACCACCGACCTATCCCTGACATAGTACGTGCCTGAGCGGGGGAGAATTTCCCATAGGGCGGCCACACGCGAGTGATGTCTGAGGCATAGCCGAAGTACTCACAGCCCGCATCCACCAGTAACGGCTCCCCTGGTTGCACCTGTGGGAGGGGACGGAGGAGAGTAGAGGGCGTGGGTGTTGGGACTGTCGCGGAGGAGAGCCAGGCGAAGGGCGGTCACACGCGTGTGATGTCAGAAGCATAGCCGAAGTACTCACAACCTGCATCCACCAGTAGCGCCTCCCCTGGTTGCACCTGTGTGGGGGGAGGTGGAAGGAGAGGGGGTGTGTGTTTAGACTGCTGGACTGAAAGATAAACACCAGTCGCATCCACCAGTAGTGACACAAGCATACCTAGTGACTGCAGGCTGATTGACTCACTGGCCTGTCGTTGCGCAGGTAGTGGACGATGCAGCCGCTGCTGCCGCCTGCCACCACTGGGGGGTAGCTGGCGGAGAGAGCAATGGATGTGGGGCGGAAATAGAGGGAGACCACACATTTGAATGAAAATGGAAAGTGGGAAGAGTGATAGGGGTGCGGGGGAGGAGGGGGGGGGAGGGAGTGGGGAAGGGAGTGGGGAAGGGAGTGGGGAAGGGAGGGGGAAGGGAGTGGGGAAGGGAGTGGGGAAGGGAGTGGAGGAGAGTGCACTTGGGGGAGGGAGAAAGAGAGAAGCGAAGAGAAAGAGCATAGGCAGCAGCAGTGCCAGGTGCGGCAAGGGAGGTATGGCGGGAACAAAGCGTGCACTGCTTGAGGCTCCATGAAGAGGGCAAAACATCTGTACACACATATGTATATACATATATACAATCATATACGTATATACAATTATACATATGTACTGACTTTGAATCTGCCTCCCCTCCGCTGCCCATCCCTCTCCTACAAGCACACCCGCCCGTCAGTACCCCATGTTCAAATCACTTTTTATTCTCTCTCAAACCCTAAACCCTGTATGATTTCGTCAGTACCCCGACCAACCAAGTGCCGAGACGAGACAATCTCGCATTTCATTTTTCAATCACCACTCACGCGAATCGCTGCGCTCCCCGTCGCTTGCACTCAAACTCGATCAGCGCAGAAATGTGCCCCTCGTGGGGCAACGACCCCCCCATGTGCCCATCTTCACGGGAGGCAGCAAAACCGAACCCTCCTGCTCCTCCTGCTGCTCCCCATCTTCCTGTTGCCACGGCTGCTGACTGCCTCATAGCTGTTAGGAAGGCCTGCAGCAACTCAGCCATCCACACAAAACAATGAAAACACACACACACACACACGCACACACTCACTCACACACACACACACACACACACACACACACACACACACACACTCACACACACACACACGCACACACTCACCCACACACACACACACGCACACACTCACTCACACACACGCACACACTCACTCACACACACACACACTCACTCACACACACACACACGCACGCACACACTCACACACACACACACGCACACACACACACACACACACACACACACACACACACACACACACACAATCTTGAGGTGAGATATTCCATGAGTGAACAAATGGAAGAGCAAAACATACCCCTTCAAAGCAATTTTTAGAATTCTAAAACATCCGGACCCTATCTTCTATCTTTCAAGCACCTCAGTACATACATTCTGAATAGTACAATATTTAGTCACTAGCCAACCTGGACTGGATTGATCGATCTCACAGCATTCCAGCAGCTTGCAACCAGCCATGCGATCCAGGCCGTCCATCCATTACCTCTGCTGTAATCTCAGCCGCCCGACGCATGAGCCTCTGTTCCGCCTCGGATTTGATCCACCGCTGCTCGTCCAGGACGCTACGGGACGACAGCAGCCGCCCGGTCGCCAGCTCAGCGGCAAGAACCGGCACTGTAGCAATCAGATCGTGATTGGCCCGATGGTCACAGTAGAAGCGAGGAGGTGGAGAGCGGTCGGAAGAGTAAGAGGAGGGGAGGGAGGAGGAAGAGGAGAGTCGGTGTGATGAGATGCGTTGTTGGGCCTCCAGCAGGTACTGAGGGAGAGAGTGCACGGGATGGGAAGGGGTCAGGGATTAAGGGGTGGGTGAGAAAAACTGAAAAAACGTAACGGAGTTACACACGTCCATCTAGCATTCGACATCGGCAATATGTATACATATCCTGTGAATTCACTGCACAATCAACATGAATGGGTTGCAACGAATTCACTGTGTATGAGAGTACCTCGTCGAGAGCGCATCAACGAATAAGGGCCTGTCCGGTTTGAAGAAGGCCTTGGTAGCTGGTCGGTGGAGTGAACGAGTTGCATTTTTCAGTCGACTCAGACAGTGCGCTTCAAAAGTTATGAATGCCGAGCAACACAAGAAGAGAATGAACGTACCTCATTAAGAGAATCCACAAACAGGGCTCTGTCAGGTTTAAAGAAGGCCGTGGCAGCAGGGGGGTCCAAAGCCCTTCCATCCCACACCACCATCTGGGGGCGATAGAGTGGCGGGAACAGGGGGCAGAGGGGATTGAGTTGATAGGCTTTTTGGGCCCTGACTGCCATTCCACACCATTATCTGAGGGCGATTGATTTGAGATGGAGAAATTTGGGCGGCGTGAGGTAGGCTGTAAGTGTGAGGGTAGAACACGAGCGTGATGGGAGAGAGAAGAGATTGACGTGCCACCATGCCATACCATGCCCTGCCATGCCACCATCTCATGTCATGCCACCACACATGCTTGCACACCACACCACAACATGCATGGGTTGTATCTGCCATGCCTTGGCATCGCTATGTCACATGAAGCCCACCCACCAACGCACATCAGCTCGTTGCCGCGGTAAGAACAACGTGAACTGCACATCCCCTCCCCCTCCACCTCGTCCACCCTCCATCTCCCCACTCACTCCCCCACCCCCCCCACCACCAGCACTATTTCCCAGATCAGCACCACCGCTCTCCCCATCCGCAGCACCACTCCCCCCATCGCTCTCTATCACAGCCACCACACCCGGGTGCCAGCACCCCGTGAGGTAAATCAAATCTGAGTCTGGGCGGTAGGGGAACGGCACGATGCCGGCCATGTAGCGCACTGGAGCCGCGCCCACCACTAGCACGCTGCCACGTGGCAGGCGGAACATGACTGCCCTGCGCCGGGCGGCGAACTCTGACGCAGTGACAGATGGCAGGATATCATTGGGGCCGAGCAGCTGTGGGAGGTAGGAGTGAGAGGGGGGATGAGAGGAGAGGGGATGAGGGGGAGAGCAAGAGGGAAAGGGAAGGAAGGTGGGAAGAGTAAGGGAATTGTGAAAATGGCGTGTCTTTAAGAATTCCCTAGAAGGCGGTTGGAGTGCATTGCTCAGCACCCTGCAGCCAATCGATGCTTTCCTTCTCCCCCTGCTCGTCCCCCCATTCCACGCCCTAGCCACCTCAAGCTTCGAGGCGTCTCAAAACACTCCCTAGTCTCCTCACTCCTCTGTGGAGTGGCGGAGACTCGTCTCCTCCACATTGCCTCGCCAACAATGTGCCTCTCTCACACAAAGTGACTTTTGAGTCGACTCAAAAGTCACCTTGGAAACTGGTCTCCTCACATTGCCTCAGCAACAATGTGCCTCTCTCACACACACACTCCTCCACTCCAACCCCAGGCGAGGCGCCTCACAAACAGACCCTTCCTGGTTTGGTTCCCACATCTCACCCAGACGACTTTTGAGGCGCCTCAAAAGTCCCCAGGCGAGACGCCTCACAAACAGACCCTTCCTGGTTCCCACATCTCTTCTCTTCGCCTCAACCCCCCCACCCCCAAACCCCGAACCCTTTATTTCCGTTATGTCCAACCCGTCTTTCCCACTCCCCTCTCCCCCTATCCATGCTCTCCCCATTCCTCCTCCTCTCTCCTCACCTCTGAATGCCTGTCCACTCCTCTCCAAGTTCCCCCATTCTCTCCCTCTCCTCCTCCCCGCCCCCGCCCATCCAGCCCCCGACCATCCAGCCCCCGCCCTTATCAACTCCCCACCTTCTCCTCCGCAGATTTCCCTCCTCCCCCTGCTCCCCCTCCTCCCCATTCCCCTACTCCCCTTTCCTCCTCTCTCACCTCAGAGTGGCTCTCGTGCGTTGATTGCCCACTCCGCTCCCACTTCCCCACCTCTTTCCCCGTAATTTCTGCCCCCTCCCCCTCCCGTTCCGCCAACTGCCTCCTCCCATCTCTCCTCTCTTCCTGCCCTCCACCCCCCTCCCTCCCTCTCCTCCTCTCTCACCTCCGGGTGGCTCTCGTGTGTCGGTTGTCCCACCTCCACGCTGCCTCCATCCCGCTAATCACCTGCTCCCCCCGTTCCGCCAACTACCCCCCCGCCTTTCCTCCCCCCCCCCCCCACTCCCTCTCCTCCTCTCTCACCTCCGGGTGGCTCTCGTGAGTCGGCTGTCCCACCTCCACGGGGCCGCCATCCCGCCAATCACCTGCTGCCACCTGTAGACCTCGGCTGCAGCTGTGCTTCCAGCTGGCGACACACTGATCCGCGGTATTAGCGGGCGAGGACGCGGAGATTCGATACGGGGGGATTTGATAGTAGGAGATTTGGGATTTGGAGATCTGATTCACGCTCGGTATTCTGTGGGAGCTAAGGCAACTTCCCTGGTTGAGGTCTAGGTTATATTCTGCACTGCAAAGGGGTGCGACCGCGGCGCGCGAAGGTGACTGGGTGGGAGATGGAATTAGGACGGACGGCCACGATGATGCCGACGGGAAGATCGAGCGGTACTTGCGACGACCTCTCGCGAGGCGCCACATGGCGACACGTGACTCGCGAGGCCACGACGTGGACTACTGTTCAGGCTTGGGGCGTGGAAGCGAGCCGATAGGCGGAAATTACCTGTTCCCAGCCTGTGCGGCCCCCGGTTTCTAGACAGGGCGTACTTGTCAATAGGGTAGGCCTGGGTTTGTGGTGATATGGATTTTCAAATCAGCTAGCATTCTCAATTAACAAACCAGGTTTATTCAATTTATATTCCCTTAACGAGTCATGATCATCGGGTACGGAGACGTGGGGATTGACCCGTTTTGGAAAAGCGCGGCAGAATAATTCGCTGTAAAGGAAGGTTGACAGAGAAGAAGCCGATTGGTTGCTATGTTTTCGATTGCTCGACGATCGCCGCCAATGTTTGTTTCGTTCTCCTTGAAAAATTGCCGGCGACTCTCGCGAGGTACTTCGTGAGTATCTGGTTACAAATTCCGGCGACAGAACGTTGCCCCGATTCTTCGTTGTCGGACTCCAATGTCAGACTTATATTTCAGGTCATTACACTCGTAGCGTAATTCATAGGGGATTCTTTTATACCGCGAATTTTGCAACCTGCCAGGGCCGCCGCGCCATGTCCGCATCAGCGCGCGCCGCATCACTCGCTTGCCTTCCGCTTCTCCGCTCCCGCGCGCTCCCCGCCCTTCCTCTTTGCGCTACCGTCCCTTTCTCCCCTGCCTCGCCTTTGCGCGCCCCTCTCCCTCCGCCGTCTGGTTCCGCCTTCCGCGCGCGCTTTCACGCAGCGGAAGCTCCGCCTTCGCAGATTCAATCTCGTCTCGGCGCTAGAACCGACCGCGTACTTTCCCGCGCAAGCGCTTTCACTCCCCGCTTTGCGCCAGCGGCGCGGGGCTCGCGCGCGATCAGCGGAGCTTCACCACGCGTATCCCCCCACGCAGCTGCTGATTCGCGGAAGCCGGAAATGGCGCACGCGGGGACTAGCGAGGAAAGGGGAGCTTCGGGGGAGCGGGCGGAGCGGAAAGTTGCGCCGTTCGGGGCGTGGGAATCCCCCATCGGCGCAGATATGGCGAGCGGCGCAAGCCTGCGCTTCGGGGGGGCGGCGGTGGATAGCGCGGGGCGCCTGGTGTGGGCGGAGGGCAGACCCACGGAGAAGGGGTGAGCAATTCACCACCTAGTAGTGGATGTGACTAAAAAGAGGGTTGGGCGAACTGCAGTGCAAACTTGGAATGGATGTGACTGTATGACATGGGACTGGAATGAAATCGAGGTGGTCAGAAATGGTGTTTGTGAAAGGGCCACCAATCAGGGCAAAGCAGTGCTTGCTATAATGGCCGTGGATGTGATTATAGCGATGGATTTGACTCTAGCTGCATGTTCTCTCTTTCCCTGTCACTAGGATTAATGAGGTGCCTCATAAGGCGAATTCTGAGGCACCTCCATTTGAAATCCCTTTGTCACTTGGATTAGAATCCCTCCATCTCTTTGCAAGAGGCCACATGCAAAGGTCGTCTCACTCTCACTCTCCATTCTCCCCCACCCCTCCTGACCCCCCCTTGCAGTCGGGTGGTGGTGGTGAGGAAGGGGACACGTGGCGCAACCCCATTGGACGTCTCACCTCCCTCCATGAGCGTGCGATCCCGCGTGCACGAGTACGGCGGAGGAGCCTTTCTGGTCGCCCCCTCTCCTCCTCCTCCTGCCACGTCTACTGCCACGGCGGATGCCACGTCAGCAGCTGAACATGTGCCGAGCGATCTGCTGATCTTTTCCAACGGAGCCGATCAACGGCTGTATGTGCTCGAGATGCCATCTGGCGGCTCAGATTCTGCCGAAGGTGCGTCCACCGTTTTGGTATGTATGTGCTTGCTATGTACTTGGTATGTGTGATGGATGGGCACATACAATCCGCATTGATGCATGTAATCAGCACTAAACCCTCTCTTTCCATCTCCTCTCCCCCAAAATTTAACCTCTCCCATCTCCCTCCTCCCTCCTCCTCCCCCCCCGTTTCATTCTCTCCCTCCCCAACCCATCCCACAGTGCCCCAGCCACGTCCGCTGACACCTGTCGTCGAGCCACCTGGCGCGCTGCGATTCGCTGACGCCCGGTTGGACGCATGCCGGAGGCGAGTGATATGCGTACAGGAGGGTGAGTTGTGAGGCGTTTGGGAAGCGCACCGTGAGTACCCCGTTGGTTCTGGGAAACGCGAGTGGTGTGGGAGCAGAGCAGGACGTTTGAGATTCTTGGGAAGAGGAGCGCGAGTAATTTCCGTCCAGGAGGGTGAGTTATGAGACGTTTGGGAAGCGGACCGCGAGTACCCCAGTGGTTCTAGGAAACGGGACTCCGAGTGGTGTGGGAGCAGAGCAGGATGCCTGAGACGTCTGGGAGGAGGAGCATGAGTGATAAACGCCCAGGAGGGTGAGTTGTGAGATGTCTCAAGGCTTGCTCGAGAAGGTGAGGATTGCGAATAGCATGAGTGATACCCGCGTAGTACGCGGGGGAGTCAGGATCTGCCTTCCCCACTGCCTTCCCCACTGCCTTCCCCACTGCCTCCTGAATGCCGGATCCATTTTGTTGCCTTGCTGCTTCTTCGTAATGTGCCGCTGCAAATATTGGTTCTGGGACGTCCCAAAAATGAATTGGTTCTTTCAAAACCGTTGTTATTTTATCACAACCTGCTGCCTGCAAGCTCAATTCATTCCAAGGCCCTGCTGCTGCTTCATAGTCCGCTGCTGCTTCATAGTCCCCTGTTGCCCCTTCCCAGTACCTGTCGAGCTGCATTCGTTCATGATCCTTTTTCCCTTGCCACTTTCCATTGCCCGTTTTCTTTGCCCCTTTTCATTGCCTGTTTTCTTTGCCTCTTTTCATTGCCCGTTTTCTTTGCCTCTTTTCATTGCCCGTTTTCTTTGCCTCTTTTGATTGCCCGTTTTCTTTGCCTCTTTTCATTGCCCGTTTTCTTTGCCTCTTTTCATTGCCCGTTTTCTTTGCCTCTTTTCATTGCCCGTTTTCTTTGCCTCTTTCCATTGCCCGTTTTCTTTGCCTCTTTCCCTTGCCCGTTTTCTTTGCCTTTCCATTGCCCGTTTTCTTTTCCTCTTTCCATTGCCCGTTTTCTTTGCCCTTTTCATGCTTCAAATGGCAGACCATCGCCAAATCAATGGTGGCGGGGGCGGAACAGAGGAGCACGGGGGACATGGCGAGCCGAGTAACATGCTTGTGGCTGTTTCGTTGGATAGCGATGGGACAGAAGGTGAGTTGGTTAACTGTTTTGCATCTCACTCTTCAGTCCAGTCCGCATGAAGATTATGGCGAGAATGGTGAGGAACAGAGGAGCATGGCAAGCCGAGGAGTAACATGATTGTGGCAGTTTCTCTGGACAGTGATGGTACTGAAGGTGAGTTTTTAACCTGCTAGTATTTCACTTTTGAGTTGGGTCAGAAACATGGGGAGCATGGGGAGCATGTGGGAGCATGGAGAGCCGAGTAGCATGCTCGTGGCTGTTTCGTTGGACAGTAATGGGATTGAAGGTGCGTCGGTCACCTGCTGACATCCTTGAGTCAATTTAAAAGAATGGGGAGCATGCGGAGAATGGGGAGCATGCGGAGAATGGGGAGAGTGCGGAGCCAAGTAACATGATCATGGCAGTGTGTTTGGACAGCGATGGGACAGTAGGTGAGTTGAGAACTTGCTTGGACCTCACTCTTGAATTGAGACAACAGCAAAGGGAGCATGGGGATGTTGCCTCACCCGTGTGAACCACTCGTCTGAGATGATTTCTCCACGCAATCACCCCCTCTTCGACCCTCAACTTTCCCAGTCCCTGTAGTGCTGGCATCTGGTGCAGTGTTTTGAGACGTCTCAAAACAAGCATCTGGCGCAGACCTCTATGCTTCGCCCATCTGAGCCCGGATGGCAAGCAGCTGGCATGGATGGAGTGGAGCCACCCGACTTGCACTCTTCACCATGCCTGAGCCAGTTCTGTTCCATGCGCCTCCCTTCGCCACTCCTTGCCCTTTTCCCTTCCCAGTTCCCCTGGTGCTGGCGAGTGGAGCAGACTTCTACGCATCCCCACGCCTGAGCCCCAATGGCAAGCAGGTGGCATGGATGGAGTGGAGTGCGACCAACTTGTACGTCTCGTCAGCCTGAGTCCGGATGGCAAGCGGCTGGCGTGGGTGGAGTGCGACCAACTTGTACGCTTCACCCTGACTGAGCCGGTTCCATTCCATCCACCTCCCCTTCCCCACCGACCGACCCTTTCCCCTCCAGTCCCCGTGGTGCTGGCGAGTGGAGCAGACTTCTATGCATCCCCACGCCTGAGTCCGGATGGCAGGCAGCTGGCATGGATGGAGTGGAGCCACCCGCACATGCCGTGGGAGAGGATTCGGGTGATGGTGGGAACATTCGATGATGATAGGTACGTTGAGGCATGGTGCGGTGTGGTGCGGTGTGGTGTGGTGCAAGGGGCAGCTGGCGTGGATGGAGTGGGACCGCCCCCACATGCCGTGGGAGAGGAGTCGGGTGATGGTGGGAACATTCGATGATGATGGGTACGTTGAGGCATGGTGCGGTGTGGTGCGGTGTGGTGTGGTGCAAGGGGCAGCTGGCGTGGATGGAGTGGGACCACCCCCACATGCCGTGGGAGAGGAGTCGGGTGATGGTCGGGACATTCGATGATGATGGGTATGTTATGCTGTGGCATGAGTTTGGCATCGCATGGGTGTGTGTGTGTGTGTGTGTGTGTGTGTCTTTGTGTGGTGATGTGTGGGGGAGGGTAACCACCCAGCTGGCATGGATGGAGTGAGCCACCCGCACATGCCGTGGGAGTGAAGCCGCGTGATGGTCGAGACGTTTGATGACAATGGGTAGGTTGAGGCGTGGTGCGGTGCAGCGTGGTGGATTGTGGTGTGGTGTGGTGTGGTGTGGTGCAAGGGGCAGGTGGCATGGATGGAGTGGAGCCATCCCCACATGCCATGGGAGAGAAGCCGCGTGATGGTGGGGAAGTTTGATGACGACGGGTGGGTATGTTGAGGCGTGGTGTGACGGTTATGTGTGTCTGTGTGACATGGCGTGGGTAAAATGGACCCATCCACACATGTCATGGGAGAGGAGCCGCGTGATGGTCCAGTCCGGGCATTTGATGACACCAGGTATGTGACGGGTATTCAGGTGCTGTGTGGTCGGCTCTCTACTGCCCACTCTCCACTTTTGAGGCGCCTCAAAAGTGGAGAGTGGGCAGTAGAGTAATGGGTATTGGGGTATTGTATGGTTGGCTCGCCGTTGCCCACCCTCCAATCCCCAGTGTCCATCCCCCAACCTGCATTTCCGCAATCCACTCCCCTCCTCTCACTGCAATGTGTCGCAGCAAAAGCTCCTTGAATGAATCAGGTCAAATAGCATCTTGCTCCTTTCTTCCACACCCGCTCTCTCCTCTCGCCCCACCTGTCCCCTCCCAGTCGCCTCACCTCAGTGCAATGTGCAGCAGGAGCAGATGCTGCCACGCCAGAAGCACCCATGGATCCACCTGGCATCTCTCCCCATCTCTTTCCGTTCCTTCCTCCTCTCGCCCCACCTCCCCTCCAGCCTCCTCACGTTGGTGCAGTGTGCAGCAGGTGCAGATGCTGCCATGATTGAAGCACCCATGGAGCCCCTCTGGTCGCCACAAGGTAAGAAACAAGAGGGGCCACCGTTATGTGGTAACCAGCATACGTGTGAATAGCATAGCACATATGGGTCACAGGCCATCCATAACCGCTTAATCCCAGCCCAGCCACTAGTAGGTGTATGTTTTTTGAGAATTCTCAACATACTGACCGCCAATCTGCCCTGCTGGTAACTACTGACTGCTGCTCCCCCCTCGTCCCTCTTCCTCTCCCCTCTCCCTTTCCGTTTCACTCCAGGCGATCTCTATTTCCTCTCAGATCGCGTTACCGGCTTCTGGGCTCTGCACCGATGGGTGGGTCTTACTGCTCCGCTCAGGTGTTACCTGCTCTGTTCAGGTTATACCTGTTCAGGTTATACCTGCTCAGGTTATACCTGCTCAGGTTATACCTGTTCAGGTTATACCTGCTCAGGTTATACCTGTTCAGGTTATACCTGTTCAGGTTATACCTGCTCAGGTTATACCTGCTCAGGTTATACCTGTTCAGGTTATACCTGTTCAGGTTATACCTGCTCAGGTTATACCTGTTCAGGTTATACCAGCTCAGGTTATACCTGCTCAGGTTATACCTGTTCAGGTTATACCTGCTCAGGTTATACCTGCTCAGGTTATACCTGCTCAGGTTATACCTGGTCAGGTTATACCTGCTCAGGTTATACCTGTTCAGGTTACACCTGCTCAGGTTATACCTGCTCAGGTTATACCTGGTCAGGTTATACCTGCTCAGGTTATACCTGGTCAGGTTATACCTGGTCAGGTTATACCTGCTCAGGTTATACCTGTTCAGGTTATACCAGCTCAGGTTATACCTGCTCAGGTTATACCTGGTCAGGTTATACCTGCTCAGGTTATACCTGTTCAGGTTATACCTGCTCAGGTTATACCTGTTCAGGTTATACCAGCTCAGGTTATACCTGCTCAGGTTATACCTGTTCAGGTTATACCTGCTCAGGTTATACCTGCTCAGGTTATACCTGGTCAGGTTATACCTGCTCAGGTTATACCTGTTCAGGTTATACCTGCTCAGGTTATACCTGCTCAGGTTATACCTGGTCAGGTTATACCTGCTCAGGTTATACCTGCTCAGGTTATACCTGCTCAGGTTATACCTGCTCAGGTTATACCTGCTCAGGTTATACCTGTTCAGGTTATACCTGCTCAGGTTATACCTGGTCAGGTTATACCTGCTCAGGTTATACCTGTTCAGGTTATACCTGCTCAGGTTATACCTGGTCAGGTTATACCTGTTCAGGTTATACCTGCTCAGGTTATACCTGGTCAGGTTATACCTGCTCAGGTTATACCTAGTCAGGTTATACCTGGTCAGGTGATATGCAACCAGCTGTTATCTTGCATCAACGCCTCGTCTTGTTTTAGCCCACTACCTCTTCATATGTTCTTTTAATTTCGTGCGTGCATGTTGTTTGCTTGCCACCATGTGACTCAATGAAAATTCTCTGAAGCGACTCAAAAGAGAGATCTCAAGAGTGCATGCACACGTGCTGTCTTCTGTCTACCTTACCATGCGCTGTCTGTCTTCCTATTCCTGCCTGCTCCCTGCTGCCCCCTGCCTCCTGCCTGCTGCCTGCTGCCTGCTGCCACATCAGGCACAGCAGAACCCCGTTAACCTCAACAGCTGCATCCCCCATCCTCCCTGACCCCACAAGAGTCTGCTGCTCTCTGCTCTGCAGAACCCCACATTAGGCACAACGGAAGCAGTGGCAGACATGCCAAAGCACAACGGAGCCGATCTGCTGGTGGAGGTGGGGGGACCCCTCTGGGTGTTCCACTAGCCTCAAAAGCTGCTTCTGCCATCCTCTCTTCCTATCTGCTGCCTGCATCCCACCCTGCTTCCTACAGAACCCCACATCACGCACAGCAGAGGCGGTGGCAGACATGCCGAAGCACGAGGGAACCGATCTGAAGGTGGAGGTGGGGGGACCCCTCTGGGTGTTTGGGAATGCGAGCTACGCGTTTATCCCCGGCAGCTCGCACCACGTGGCTGTTATCTGCCAGTGAGTTGTTATGTGTCACTGTGGCCTGTACTAACTAACAGTGGAGGTGGGGGGACCCCTCTGGGTGTTTGGGAATGCGAGCTACGCGTTTATCCCCGGCAGCTCTCACCACGTGGCTGTTATCTGCCAGTGAGTTGCTATTGTCACTGTGGCCTGTACTAACTAACAGTGGAGGTGGGGGGACCCCTCTGGGTGTTTGGGAATGCGAGCTACGCGTTTATCCCCGGCAGCTCGCACCACGTGGCTGTTATCTGCCAGTGAGTTGCTATGTGTCACTGTGGCCTGTACTAACTAACAGTGGAGGTGGGGGGACCCCTCTGGGTGTTTGGGAATGCGAGCTACGCGTTTATCCCCGGCAGCTCGCACCACGTGGCTGTTATCTGCCAGTGAGTTGCTATGTGTCACTGTGGCCTGTACTAACTAACAGTGGAGGTGGGGGGACCCCTCTGGGTGTTTGGGAATGCGAGCTACGCGTTTATCCCCGGCAGCTCGCACCACGTGGCTGTTATCTGCCAGTGAGTTGCTATGTGTCACTGTGGCCTGTACTAACTAACAGTGGAGGTGGGGGGACCCCTCTGGGTGTTTGGGAATGCGAGCTACGCGTTTATCCCCGGCAGCTCGCACCACGTGGCTGTTATCTGCCAGTGAGTTGCTATGTGTCACTGTGGCCTGTACTAACTAACAGTGGAGGTGGGGGGACCCCTCTGGGTGTTTGGGAATGCGAGCTACGCGTTTATCCCCGGCAGCTCGCACCACGTGGCTGTTATCTGCCAGTGAGTTGCTATGTGTCACTGTGGCCTGTACTAACTAACAGTGGAGGTGGGGGGACCCCTCTGGGTGTTTGGGAATGCGAGCTACGCGTTTATCCCCGGCAGCTCGCACCACGTGGCTGTTATCTGCCAGTGAGTTGCTATGTGTCACTGTGGCCTGTACTAACTAACAGTGGAGGTGGGGGGACCCCTCTGGGTGCCATCATGCTGTCATCTGCCAGGAATTGATTTTTTAGGCGCCTACTCAACCCAATTCGTATTCCCTGCTACGAACAACTATTATCATCACTCCACCCACTCACTCTCATTCACTCACTCTCTCACTTCCATAATTCCTGTCGCCCTCCCCTCTTCCTCTCAGAGTGAACGGTTGGTCTCAGGTGCAGAACATCGACGCTCATACTTACTGATTGCACACCCATTCCCTCTCTTACTTCCACCCTCCCCCCTTCATCTCAGAGTGAAAGGACAGTCTCAGCTGGGAATCATCGACACTCACACTCGCGCCTTCACACTCACTCCTCCCTTCCACCCTCCTCTCACTCAGATGTCCCACCTGGTAAGCGGTTACCACTCACTCCTCCAATGCACTCCAGCCCTCCAGTAACCGTGTTCCTCCTTGTAACCACAATTCTGGAACCAGAATCAGACATAATTTAAAGTCTTTTAAGTTCCTCGTCCCACCATGCCACCTTATACCAAGTCTAACTTCTAGACATTACAAAACCCAGTTTTCTGCATACTTCTTGCTAAAACAATGCCTGGTAAGTGGTTACCACTCACTCCCATGCTCTCATTGACTTACTCTGTCATCTCTCTAGCATGCCCCCTATTGCCAATCGTAGTCTTCCTGTATAAGCCAGTCTTGTTTTTTTAAATAGCTCTAGCTGCGCCGGTGTTGTTTGTTTGGCAAATACTGCTAAGCTGGGCGTATAACTGGCATTACACTACACCACACTGCACCACACTACACTTCTCCTCGATTCAGTTCTGTGGGGATTTTTTTTTGTCCAACTGAGATTTAGAAAAACGGCTCAACACATAGCTTTTCTGATCACTCATGGCATTATGATTCACAAAACCATAATGCCATGACATCGCAGCATCAACATCACATTACTCGCATCACATCTTCGCACACACGCATTTCTATGAGCAGGTGGCCGGCAAGGATCGTCTTTTTGTGTGTGCTGGCGGCCCCTCCACGCCGCTCTCGTTCTTTGAGGTATTATTGTGTGTATCTGCATCAGTGCTTCAAAGTGGTTCTGTGCGGTACTCTCGGTCATGACCCCAGTGCAAGACACCCACCTTGCCATTTACATCATTTGAGCGTTGTCTTATCTTTTTCTTTGAGGAGTGGGAGGGGGCAAGCATTCCTCCATTTATTCTCTTCTTTTTTTGTCATGCCCCCTCCCACTCCTCCAGCTGAAGCCCTCCCCAGATATGACCTCTCTACAAGTCATCTACCCTCCCATCCGCGTGTCAACAACCATCCACACCGCGTCCCTTGCCCCATTCTGTTTGTGATGCGTTTGTGCCTTGTGCTGCTTGCCCTTCCTGCACCCTTCCCACTCCTCCAGCTGAAGCCCTCCCCAGATATGACCTCCCTGCAAGTCATCCACCCCCCCATCCGCCCGTCAACAACCATCGACACCGCGTCACTCGCCCCCTTCCTCTCCTCGCCTCAATGGATCGAGTTTCCCACCACCACCCCACCAGCCCAAGCAACCTCACCAGCCAATGCACTTCACACCACACCACACTCCTCCACACCCAACCGCACCGCACACGCGCTCTTCTACCCACCTGCCAGCGGCACCTTTCAAGGGCCGCAAGGGGCCCTCCCGCCTCTGCTGGTGAAGTGCCACGGGGGGCCCACGGGGTGCCTCGACTCTGCTCTCCGCCTGCCGCTGCAGTTCTGGACTTCCAGAGGCTTCGCTGTCGTGGATGTGAATTACGGGGGGAGCACTGGTGAGTCACATGAGGGAGGGGAGATGGGGGTGGTGGTGGGGGGAAACCGCTCTGGTGGCTGTGCTTAGGCAGTCCCAGAAAGAAACCGTTCCAAGGCCCGCAAGTAGCGCTCACTCCCTCCTCTGCTGGTGAAGTGCCACGGGGGGCCCACGGGGTGCCTCGACTCTGCTCTCCGCCTGCCGCTGCAGTTCTGGACTTCCAGAGGCTTCGCTGTTGTGGATGTGAACTATGGGGGCAGTACAGGTGAGTGGGACTGGGGCAGCAGGACAGCACACCACACTCCTCACACTCCGCACCCCTTTGTGCAGCACACACGCGCCCTAGTCTCTTCTTTCTGAGTGGGGTGGGGGCAGCAGCACACCACAGCACACCACACTCTTCACACTCCGCACCCCCTTGCACAGCACACACGCGCCCTAGTCTCTTCTGAGTTAGTCCCAGATATTCTTTCAAGGGCCGCAAGGGGAGCTGCCCCCTCTGCTGGTGAAGTGCCATGGCGGCCCCACGGAGTGCCTCGATTCTGCTCTCCGCCTGCCGCTGCAGTTCTGGACTTCCAGAGGCTTCGCTGTTGTGGATGTGAACTGCAGGGGGAGCACGGGTGAGTCAGTGGGATGGGGGCAGCACAACAAACTACACTTGGCAACCACAATAACTGCAGTTCTGGACTTCCAGAGGCTTTGCCGTGGTGGATGTGAAAGGAACTACGGCAAAGCCTCTGGGGAGAGCACTGGTGAGTGGGATGGGATGGGAGTGGTGCGGGCAGCACTGGTGAGTGGGGTGGGGTGGGAGTGGTGCGGGCAGCAGTGGTTTACCACGCCATGCCACGCCATGCGACACCATCGCATGCCATCCCATCCCATGCCATCATGCCACACACACCAAGGTACGGTAGGGGCGGCTGCATGGGCAGTAGGAGTGGAGAAGGTTGACGATGCCATCCCATGCCATGCCTGTTAGTGCTAGTCCTCAATCTCACACTTTGTACTTTATATTTTCTATATCCTAGAGTAGTGTAGTTTGCACTTTGTGTTTGGTTGGGTGTACACCTACATCCCAACCAAACCCAAATGTAATCTCCAAGCAATCTCCAACCCACCAATTGGAGATTGCCTTGGGATTACCCCCAATCCCTAGGGATTCCCTTTCCCATCCATTCCTTGCCCTTCTTTGATGTACTTAAAGAGCTTCAAGTTCATTACTAATGCATCAGTTCTGAGCTTAAGTTCTGACATGGTATAAGAGCCCTTCAACCGCACACGCGGATCGTGATCCTCTTATCTTTGCGGATGCTCGTCCTGCAAAACTCGGCGTAGCCACCCTCAATCTCGTCGCCGGTGATTCGCGACATTCGTCGGCGGAAATTCTCCCGCACCACCTTCCCGTCAACTTCGACGACATCTACTATATTTCTGGTGAGCGCATTGTCGGCGCCGTAACATATCGCTCCTTTTCGCTAAACATCATCGCGTCATCTCTTCTCCTCGTCGCGCCGTCGCCCGTCGCCCTGCAGCTTCTCGTCGGGCTGCCGCCCGTCGCCCTGCAGCTTCTCGTCGGGCCACCGCCTGTCGCCCCGCAGCTTCTCGTCGGGCCGCTGCCCGTCGCCCTGCAGCGTCACCTTCGGGCTGCCGCCCGTCGCCCCGCATTTGCACTTCTACCCCCATCCCCCCCTTCCCGCAGCTGAACAGGTGCAGCAACGCAGCCGAGCAGCAGCGTAGCCGAGCAGCCGTGTAGCCGCGAAGCCGAGCAGCAGTGTAGCCGCGAAGCTGAGGGTGGTGTGTGGGGGGGTGTGTGGGAATAGGGTTAGCTCTACGGCAATCGGCCGATTTAACCTAATTTTGGCGCCCTGAAAAATCATTCTACAAGGCATCCTGACACGGTCGACATTGACGATTTTTGCTATTTATATCCGTCGGATTCGAAATCGAAGTTCCTATCAGTGACTTAAGAGCGGCGCTCCGCGCAAGACATTAAGGGGCCTTCATCATGGCCTTCCCCTCGTCCACCATGGCCAACCCCATCACCCCGCTCCGCCTTGAAGCCGATGGCTCTAGCTCCAACTTCAAGGCATGGAGCTATGGGGTTCACAAGCACCTCCTGAGTCGTGACGTGCAGGGATTGGACCTCAAGGACGTCCTCCTCAACCGTGGCAAGGGAAAACAGCTCCTTCTCCCCCTTGAGCTGATTGAATCCGCTAGTGACACTGACATGAGAGCGTACGAGGAAGCCGTTGAAAAGTACTGGAAATGGGAGAAGGCCGATGCTGCTATCATCAGCGTTTTCATCGCCTCCACCCCTCCCGAACTTGTCAACACGTTCCACAACTACCCTACCTCCAACGCCATCTGGAAATACCTCCGGGATCGGATCATGAACAAGACGGCAGTCGGAGTTGCCATCCTCATCCCCAGCATGTTCCAAGTCCGCATTGAGGACTGCTCGGGAATGGCCGACTACATTGCCAAGGTGCAGACTATTCATGGCGAACTCAAGGAGCTGGGTATAGTCTTCCCCGAACAAGCCTCTGCAGCCGCCCTTCTTGTTGGTCTCACTTCGGCATATGAAGTAACGAGGAAGATGCTTCTCACGCTCTCAGCGGAAGACCTCACCTTTACCGCACTCCTCTCTGCCGAGAAAGACTCCACGGCTCAGGTCAAGGCTTACGCCATCCGCGCTCCCATGCTGCAAGCAAGTGTCGCATCGGCCCTCGCCTCGGCGCCCTTCCAGCGCAACCGCTTCCCTCCGTGCACCTACGTTGTCAAGTATGGCAACCGCAAGGGACAAGTGTGTAGTGGCACTAATCACCCCTTTGCTACGTGCTTCAAGAAGAAAGACGACGAATGGTATGCCATTCACGGAGTGGACAAGATGCCGCCAAACTGGATGCGCCCTCGTAAGGCCAACCTAGCTGAGGTCCAGGACCCCGCTTCGGCTAGTGCTAGTGATAGTGCTCCTGCTGATGTGCGTATCAACCTGTTGTTCCCTGGCACTGCCATGATTAATGAAGCTACCTCCCAGTACATCAGCTCATGACAGACACCACAATACATAGAGTTCACACTCGACAGCAAGGCCACCCACACTGTGCTCAGAGAGACACTCTCCTTCAAACCCTACGCAACACCCATTTCTCTCTTGGGAGCTGACTCAAGTCTCACCAATCTTGCCAAGGGTACATCCACAGCCCCGTGCCCCGACTTCCCATCTGGCACTGTCACTGTCATGTGCGTGCCTTCACTACGCCACAATCTAGTGGCTCAAACGGAAATTTTGAATGCAGGATTACGCATCATCTTCTCGGAGAACGAGGATCACTGCGACATCATCGATCCACTCACCAACAAAATCTTGGCCCGCTTCACCCTCAATAGCAGCGGCCTCTACACGCTACGCGTACCTCTCCCACAGGTGTCAACCACCCAAGCACAGGCTACTATCACACCATGCTCATGTCGCAGCCTCTCCATCCCGACCATTCTTTACCACCATCGGCTCGGGCACCCAAACTTCCGCACGCTTGCTAACATGGCCTCCAAGAAACTTCTTCTCGGCCTGCCAGCCGCACTTCCTCCACCACCTGACTCACCCGCTCCCACGTGTCTTGACTACACCAAGAGCAAACTGCGCCAACAGCCCCATCCTCCCTCACCCACAGTCGCAACAGCACCACTCGACCTCGTGCACATGGACGTTTGGGGCCCTGCCCCTGTTCCCGCACGAGGTGGCCGTCGCTACTTCCTTGCTATCGTGGATGACCACTCCCGCTACGTCTCTGCTCACCTCCTCCACACCAAGGCTGAGGCCCTAGAGGTCATCATGGCGTGGGTCAAGCAGGCACAGACCGCCTTTGACCGCAAGGACAAGCGCCTTCACTCGGATGGGGGGGGTGAATTTTGCAACGACAAGCTCAAAGCCTTCTGCTCCTCAGAAGGCATCCAACAAAACTTCACCCTTCCTGACAGCCCGCAGCAGAACGGCACAGCAGAGAGCCGCAACTACACCCTGGTGCAGATCACTCGGTGCCTCCTCAGCCATTCTAACGCTCCACTCTCTCTCTCTGGGGGTACGCCCTCTACCATGCCGCCCTCCTCTATAATCTTTACCCCCACCCGCATCTTCCTAACACCACTCCAACCACACTTTGGCTCGGAAAAACACCCACTGCTCGCTCTCTTCGCGTCTGGGTGTGTACCGCTTATGTCCTCCTCAACCCTCAGGCCAGGCGAACAGCGCGGTGGCAAACTCGGTCCCAAGATTCAAACGTGCATCTACCTTGGGCACAACGCCGACTCCCCTGACTATCTCTTCCTCAACCCCTCCACTCAACAGCTAGTTCGGAGCCGCAACGTTGTCTTTGATGAAACCCGCCCATTCTACTCCACCTCGGGACCGGATCCTCCCTCCGATCCACCCTCTCTCGTGTGGGCGGACTTTGATGCGCTCCCTGACCTCCCACCTGCACCGGCCCCCTCACCTCCTCCCTCTCCTGCTATTGCACCTTCCCCCTCAGAGATCTCTGACCCGGCCTCGCTGGTGTCTTCGGCAGCTGCTCTGCTCCTCCATCCCCTTCACCTCCCACTCAGCCGACTGTGCTGCCGCCTCCGAGCGCACCTATCACTTACCATCGGCGGTCACACCCTCCGGCCCCGCATCCTCCCCCAGTTCCCCGTACCACAGAGGAACCCGCTCTCCCACAGTCGCCTGAGCTGATCACGTACCAGCGGCGGCCACTTCCCCCACCCAAGCCTCCTAAATCAACCCCTCCGACACCGCGTGCTCCACCCTCTTCTCCGGTGGCTCATGGCTCTCGCTCGCATGGCCCTGCCCTTCCACTGGCCCTGATTCTTCGATGCACCGCGATCACTTCGACTCCTCCTACTTGGGGGGGATGTGCCCTCTACCCTTTTGAAAGACAGACATGAGGAGCTATGTGACCTTCACACAGTCATTCCTCAGCTCTCGCACATCTTCCCCGACATCAATGAATCACCCTCACTCAACTTCACGGAAAACCCGACCATCCCTAACCCTCTCACCGTCCAAGAGGCTCTCTCGGGTCCCCATGCATCTGAATGGCGTGCTGCAAAGGAAGCTGAGATTGAAGCATTCACTCGCAACCACTCCTTCGACGACGAGACTCCACCTCCAGGAGTCAACATCGTCGGGGGCAAGTGGTTGTTTTGTGTGAAATAGCTCCCTGACGAGGCCCCGGTGTTCAAAGCGCGTTGCGTAGCCAAGGGTTTCACCCAGCAACAGTACCACGACTTCTTCAAGACCTTCTCCCCCACATCCAAACCTCCCACCATTCGCACGCTCATGGATGTCGCAGCACGAGAAGACTTTGAGATCAAATCCATGGACGCCTCATCAGCTTTTCTACAAGGACTCAAGGAGACAGTGTTCATGGACAGACCTGAAGGTTTCCCAGGAATATTCCCTCCCAACACTGTCTGGAAGTTGAATCGGCCCGTCTACAGCCTTAAGCAAGCCCCTCGCGAATGGCACAACAAGGTGAAAAAAGTCCTTCTCTCCCTGGACTTCCACCCATCATCTGCTGACCCGACTCTCTTCATTCGCCGTCATTCTGAGCCATTCTACATCCTTGTCTACGTCGATGACTTCATCCTCGTTGCCAAGGACTCGGCCCAGATGACCTCTGTCCAGGCGGCCCTGAGCAAGGCCCTCCTGATGAAAGACCTCGGTGACCTCAAGCACTACCTGGGGACGGAGATCACACGTGATTGCAAGGCTCACACCATTTCACTCTCCAAGCAGTTCTACCTCAACAATGTGCTCAAGCGGTTTGAGATGGAGCTGTGCACACCTGTTGCCACCCTGCTGCCGCTGCAACACCTCCTCAAAGCCCCAGCTGTACCCACACCAGAGGCCTGCTCTGAGCCATACCTGGAGCTTGTTGGGTCCCTCATGTGCGCCATGATGTGCACCCGGCCGGACTTGGCATATCCTGTCAGTGTCCTCTCTCGCTACGTGGCCCCTGGGCGCTTCACTGATCTTCACCGGAAGGCGGCGAAGCGGGTACTGCGTTATCTCCAGGGCACCAAATCTCACGTTCTCACACTCGGTGGGCTCTCCCCTCCTCGGCTGGAAGGTTACACTGACTCCTCTTGGGCCGATGATCAAACCGACCGACACTCCTCTCAGGGGTACTGCTTCACCCTTGGGAGCGGAATTGTCAGTTGGCGCTCCACCAGGTCGTCAGCAGTCTCCCTCTCCTCCTGTGAGGCAGAGCTCTACGCTGGCACCATGGCTGCTCAAGAGGTCCGTTGGCTCACCTTCCTACTCTAGGAGCTTGGCTACCCTCAGTCCACCCCCACCCACTGGTGTGACAACCAGAGTACTATCCACCTCTCCCAAGACCCTGTGTATCACACTCGCACCAAGCACATCGAACTTCGGCACTTCTTCATCCGTGACCTTGTCCAGCGGGAGCAGCTGAACGTGGAGTACGTTGCATCTGACTGCAACCTGGCTGATCTGTTCACCAAGCCCCTTGGGAAAGTTCCTCACCACCGTCTCCTTGGCGCCATGGGGCTCTGTGCTCCACCTTCTCTGCCCTGAGTTCGATTGACGCCTATGGGGGGGTGTTAGTGTTAGCCCTCAATCTCACACTTCGTACTTTATATTTTCTATATCCTCGAGTAGTGTATTTTGCACTTTGTGTTTGGTTGGGTGTACACCTACATCCCAACCAAACCCAAATGTAATCTCCAAGCAATCTCCAACCCACCAATTGGAGATTGCCTTGGGATTACCCCCAATCCCTAGGGATTCCCTTCCCCATCCATTCCTTGCCCTTCTTTGATGTACTTAAAGAGCTTCAAGCTCATTACTAATGCATCAGTTCTAAGCTTAAGTTCTGACAATGCCATCCAATCCCATGCCATGCCATGCCATCCCATCCCATGCCATGCCATGCCATCCCATCCCATCCCATGCCATCCCATTTCATGCCATCCCGTCCCATGCCATCCATGCCACACTACCCACACCATCCTGTGCCATCCCATACACACCAAGGTACGACCGTGAGTATAGGGACGGCTGCATGGGCAGTGGGGAGAGGTGAGCGTTGACGATGCCATCCCATCCCATGACATGCCATGCCATGCCATCCATGTCACACCATGCCATACTATGCCAAACCATGCCATCCCATCCAATGCCATCCCATCCATTCCATACCATACCATGCCATGCCACACCATCCCATCCCATGCCATACACACCAGGGTACTGTTGGATGCACGTCATTCTGAGTGCATGTCATCCTAACGTCCTGCCGAGTGCTCGTGCTATTTGTGCTTGCATGATTTGCATGAGCATATGTCATTATGCATGGCTGTTGGATATTGTCGTCTCTGTGTTTTTTCTCCAAGTCTAAATGCTTCATCATGTAGGAGAAATCCAGAGCTTTCCAACGATACCAAGATCGCCTTATTCCGACCAAGATCTCCCAAGTTACAAGATTTCCAAGACTTGGATTTGTTATTACATTTTGGGGTTATATCTAATTTGGGTGATTACTTGGGACATGACTATAAAAATATCTTTGGTTGGGTGGTTAGGGAAGGCAACTTTGACTTTTGGATTGGGGTGGCTAGAAGTTTCTAGCATGGGTTGCAAATGTTGCAACACCTAGGCAAAATCCAACTAGATTGGATTTTGCATGTGACACCTCAAGGACCTCATGATGAGGGTTGCATCCTTGCTGCTAGGAAGGTTCCTACCATCCTTCCCTAGCTCTTGGAGAACCCCTTCTCTCTCAGGGTTCTCTTGGAGGTTCCCCAACTCCAACTTTCTATGCCTACATGCTTGTTCTTCCTCTACCATTCAAGTCATGCGGCTGCTGGACGTTTTTACTTGGTTCTCACTCTATAGACCATCTTAACGACTGATTCAACTTGGAGATGGTAGCTAAGCCTAAGGCGCAACTTCCTACCGAGCGGATTTGCGTTTAGTTGAGTAATGAGTTCGTCGTAAGCTCTCAAAGTGACGGATCCTGAACAACAGGTACGGCCGAGGGTACAGGGAGCGGCTGCACGGGCAGTGGGGAGTGGTGGGTTTGTAGAGTCGGCTCAATAATCATGTCACCCCACTCCCTCCCATACCATGTCGCACCATCCCATCCCATGCCATCCCGTGCCATGCCACACACACCAGGGTACGGCCGAGAGTACAGGGAGCGGCTGCACGGGCAGTGGGGAGTGGTGGACGTTGACGATGCATGCTGCTGCGTCGATTACCTGGTAACCACTTCCTCTTTGTGTTCAGGTGTGTGTGTGTGTTTTTTGAGTTGACTCATTGGGTTGACTCATTGAGTTGACTCAATACACGCATGGGCAGTGGAGAATGGTGGATGTTGACGATGTGTGCTGCTGCGTTGATTACCTGGTAACCGCTTCCTCTTTTGGTCCAGATGTGTGTGTTTTGGGTTGACTCATTGGGTTGACTCATTCGGTTGACTGAAAACACGCATGGGCAGTGGGGAGTGGTGGACGTGGACGATGCGTGCTGCTGCGTTGAATACCTGGTCACCGCTTCTTCTTTAAAATCCCTTTGTTTCTTCTTTGTTTCTCACTTCATGTTTTTCAATAGACATGTGCTTCACGAGCTGTTAGCACCAAACCCACGGCCTCACAAACAAGCACTCGTAACAACGACTTCGTAGCAACGACTTCGTAACAACGACTTCGTAACAACGACTTCGTAGCAACGACTTCGTAGCAATGACTTTGTAACAACGACTTGGTGACAACGACTTGGTAACAACGACTTGGTAACAACGACTACAACGACTTCGTAACAACGACTTCGGATTCTTTTTCCAGTTTCATGTGTTGTCCTCTCTGCCTTCTCACCGCTCTCTGCCTACTCTCCCCTCTTTCTCCCCAGGTGCGTGCATGGCTGGTAGGCGGCACCAAGGGGGCCATAGACGGGTCATCTGCATGCACGAGGGCTGTTCATGTCACTCTGCCTACTTCACACCTTGCTTCCTGCCCCCCTACCCCCCCACCTCTCCCCTCTCTCTCCCCAGGTGCGTGCATGGCTGGTGGACGGCACCAAGGGGGCCATAGACGGGTGGTCAGCAGAAAGGCTCCTCACTCACTTCCCCTCTACCAACCCACCGCACCCTACTCTCTGCCTACCTCCCCCCCCCCCCTTCTCCCATTTCTCCCCAGGTGCGTGCAGGGCTGGTGTAAAGGTGGCCATTGACGGGTCATTAGCAGGTGGCTTCACCACCCTCTCTGCTTTGACGTTCCTCAGCTGCACCCTGCCTGCCCACCCACTCTCATCTGTCTCATGTATTCCCTCTGCCTTCATCCTGCCCACATGGTATGACTTTTGAGAATACATACTACCAATGTATCTCTGCCTTCATCCTGCTCGCTCCCCCTTCTTTCTCCCCAGGTGCGTCAGCTGTCAAAAGAGGACAGGTGGGCTGCGAAGGCCTTACGTCCATCAACTCGTGCTGTATTAGGACAACGAAACAAGCTCCATGAATAAATGGCGGAAGGAGCCTGGTGTGCGCTATCCTGCTTCCCTCTGCCTTCATCCTGCTCGCTCCCCCTTCTTTCTCCCCAGGTGCGTGCAGGGTTGGTGGACGGCAGCACTAAGGTGGCTATGGATGGGTCGTCAGCACAATGGCTGTTCACTGACTTCACCCTGCTACTTGCCTTGTCATCTCCCCCTCCTCCTCCCGTTCCTTCCCCCCAGGTGCGTGCAGGGTTGGTGGACGGCACTAAGGTGGCTATTGATGGGTCGTCAGCAGGTGGCTTCACCACCCTCTCAGCTCTCACCTTCCGATCCACTTTCAAAGCCGGATGCTCCCTGTACGGGGTAAGGCATGGTGTGCTGTTGTACTTTCTGTAGCACTGCTATTGCACCTCTCGTCTTTAATTGCTTCTTCTGGTATGGGGTGATGGGCTTCAGATATCACCACCCTCACAGCTCCCACCTTCCACTCGACCTTTAAAGCCGGATGCTCCTTGTATGGGGTAAGGCCTGCTCAGACCGCCCCTTTCACAGCAATTAGTAGCACTACATAGCACCGCCATGTTTGCTCCCATCATTCCATCATTGACTTTTTGAACAAACTCGTTTCGTCATTTCTAGCTCCCAGGCCCCCCCTCCCCCCCCCCCCCCGGTGGCCTCACCCTGACCTACTCAGTCAATGCTCGTTCTAGCTCAAACCCACCTGAACCTACACGCTGTGTATTGCCTCCTTTCCAGTGGTATCCCTGCATGGCCGGTTGCTAAACCCTAAATCTATCATATATGATGGTGATTTCCTGCATTTATGACATTTATCGTCCTCTCTCCTGGCATTGAGCAGATTGGAGATCTCGAGGCTCTGGTTCAGATGATGCGCAAGTTTGAAAAGTGAGGTGGCTTTGAGTCGACTCAAAGAACAATCCCTGCCTGCTCCCTCCTGACATTGAACAGATTGGAGATCTCGAGGCTCTGGCTCAAATGATGCACAAATTTGAAATGCACTACACTGATACACTCGTTGGTGAGTTATTTATTTCTTCAGATCATACCTTGTTTAAGCGTCTCCTGACAGTGTACTTCCAGTGCAGCATATGAGATTTAATATACTGTCTTTGTTTTTGTTGTGACGTGCGAAAGGCTAAATCAAATCAGTGTTTAATGTAGAAAGTGGGGAGCTCAAGTATTTAATTCCTCGGCAATAATTCATGAATTCTCTTTTGAGAACGCACTACTGGGTATGGAGGATAAGTATACCTCAGGAGAATTCCTCCCTTTTTCGTCTGCTTCTCCCCCCTCTTTCTTCCAATCCCCCAGCACCATACAACACTCCCGAGGGAAAGCAGCTGTACAAGGAACGTTCACCGATCAACCACGTGGACAAGCTCGCATGCCCCTTGCTGCTGCTGCAGGGACTTAAAGACCAGGTACGGTGAGAACGGTGAAAGATCTAGTGATTATAGGTCGTATCCAAAAAGAAGTTTGAGGAGCCTAAACACCAGGTGCATTGAACATGTGAGGTTCAGGTTTCATGTTGTAACCAGATCTGTGAGCCAAGCAGACTCTCCATAAGAAATCTTGACAAAATCGTATATTTTACTCGGCCTCAGTCAACATTTCCCTATTCCTCCCCTGTTTGTCGACCTGCTTCAATGCATATCCCACGACCCATCCACGTCCACATCTTCTCTTACCTCTCCGTCCCGTCTGCAGCATCCGCACCTCGACAACGCCCAGCCATGCACGCTGCAGTCAAGTCCAAGCGGGTGCGCCTGTCTGCCTCAGAGCCACATGATTATACCCATCTCATTCCTTTCTTGCCTTTATTCCCTTCCTGTTCGCTTCTCTCTTCTCCTCACCAGGTTTTGCGTCCCGACCATGTCTGGGCCATGCACGCTGCGGTAAATTCCAGTAGTCTGTTTGTCTGTCTAAAGTCCATCTGGATACTCCGTTTGTTCCCTCTCTTCCTCTGTATCGTGCCCCTTTCCCCATCTCACCAGGTGGTGAGTCCTGAGCAGGCCCGGGCCATGCACGCTGCAGTGAAGGCCAAGGGTCTGCCGGTGGCTATCGTTGAGTTCCCAGATGAAGACCACGGCTTCAGGAATGTGAGTATGGTGAAGCCATGTGGGTATGGTGAAGCCATGTGGGTATGGTGAAGCCATGTGGGTATGGTGAAGCCATGTGGGTATGGTGAAGCCATGTGGGTATGCTGAAGCCATGTGGGTATGGTGAAGCCATGTGGGTATGGTGAAGCCATGTGAGTATGGTGAAGCCATGTGGGTATGGTGAAGCCATGTGGGTATGCTGAAGCCATGTGGGTATGCTGAAGCCATGTGGGTATGCTGAAGCCATGTGGGTATGCTGAAGCCATATGGGTATGCTGAAGCCATGTGGGTATGCTGAAGCCATGTGGGCATGGTGAAGCCATGTGGGTATGGTGAAGCCATGTGGGAACAGTGACTTTATGCAAGTGTAGCTTATGTTTCAAGAAGGCGGTGATAGTGAAAATGGCATCCGCCATGTGTGGATGAAGGGCGGAGAACATCCAGGCTGCACTGAAGGTGGTACACTAGTACTTCTGCCATGGCTTGCTGAAAAAGATCCATCGTAATCTTTTGCACACTCGTTATGCATCGACTCAACCCACCATTACCGTACCACTATCCTTACATGGTGACATGGCAGGCGAACAACATCAAAGCAGCACTGGAGATGGAGCACGCGTTCTTCTGCCGTGTCTTGCTGACTCTTTCCATGTACTCACCATTGTTCATGTCTATGTGGTTATGTGGTAACATGGCAGGCGGACAACAAACAGCTCTGGAGATGGAGCACGAGTTCTTCTTCCGTGTCTTGCTGAGTTATATTTCATTGTGATCCTATGTGGTTACGTTGTAACCTTGCAGGCGGACAACATCAAAGCAGCACTGGAGATGGAGCACGAGTTCTTCTGCCGTGTCTTGCTCAATCTGCCTCTTCCATCTGACAAGAAGCGGCTGACCATTGACAATGTTGATGAAGAAGCGTAAGCTGCTAAACACTAGCGGTCTACATGTTCAGTGAACATCACTAACTTCTTGGCTGTAGCTGTGTGAGCGAGGTGGACCAAGTTGAGTGAGAGTATTGATAGAATAATGTTTGTGGGACTGAACTGAAGCAAATAGATGTCCATTATTAGTGCTGCATATCAACCACAAACTCTGAGCGGCAACTAACTAAAAGATATGGCTACAGCAGCAACAGCTACCATAATAACGTGAAACAAAAAAGATGACACCAATTATACACAAATGTGGCAACGAAGTAGAGGAACCAGGTTTGTCAAGAGTTTTTCTTTGACTCGGCAGACCCATTCACTGCACTCCCTTCACCGTTTGCCAGTATGGGTTCAGCCTCCTACAGGCACAAGATGATGCAGGAGTGTGTGGGGAATAACTAAGTTAGGAAAACAAATTTCAGCAGAGGAAAGAAGATGTGGTCAGGTGCTGCAGCGAGGGTAGGATGCATGGACGAAGCGAGACAGAATAATTAAAAAAAAAAAAGCCGCTAGGGAGGCGGGACGTGTGACAAACGGTGTTTGCGAGAGGCGAGAGGGGAGGGGAAGGAGCGTGGGGATGAGGAGGGAAGGGGGGTTTGGTTTGGAAGGAGGGAAGGGGGAGGAGAGGGAGGGGGAGAAGAAGAGGTGGCCGGACAAACGAATGGAGGTCCTCAAACAGAGTCATAAAAAGGGGTGTACTTACTGGTAGTGGTTTTCTCGCTCCTGGCTTGTACGGACAGGAAGGACCATCTCGAAGCGGTGGATTGTACTCTCGGCCAATCAGACGGAAGAAGAGAACCTGCAGCGACATGGCGATAGTAGTACGAGGATGATACGACGGTGATAAGCGGACGATACGATGGTGATAAGTGGACGAATCCGGAGAGATACGGTGCATCGCATCAACTGAACTACGTAAGAATAGTAACGTAAAACGATGTCGCAAACTGTTATCAAAGAAGGAACACTACCAAACCAAGCGGGAGATTAAGGAGCTGTCTTGGAGGGATTCGTTGATTGTAAGCCGTTGCGACTTACAATTAGTTTGTCCCACAAACGAGGGAGGATGTTGACTAGAGGCAGTAGGAAGAGAGGGAGAAGACAGAAAACGCACACCTGCAGCGACGAGGATAAAAGAGACAGGATGAGATGTTAACAGCTTTCAACTCAGCCTGAACTGACCGAACTCAGCGCAAGCGAAACACGACCGTACCATGATTGCTTCTCCTGGAGAATAAGTAAATCAGCAAGGAACCTGGATGATAAGAATTGGATATTAACTTCCTGGCGTAAATCGTGTCGCCGTAACAACGTAGCGTCGGGGTCTAGAATCTAGTCAGGGATGGAACTGCTGGGTGATCTGCTTGAAGGGTCCATGGATGGAACACGCATGTCACACACATATAACTGAGCCTGATTCTCAGGGCGTGCTTGATACCAGGCTGGATGTAAGTCAGGGAACAAGTTCCGTGTAGTATCACCAAGAAACATTCTACAACAGGGAACAAGTACGCATATTTCCATTCCTTATATGCCATCAGGAACTTGAGGCTCGCTTTCGGGTTCAAACCCAGGAATCTAAAACACTGCCTGCGAACTTGTCGAGTGTTTTTTAGGTGAGGTGAGAGCTCCCGTCCAAGCGTGTTGGCTACGAACCTGTCCGATGCTTCGTCTGTCAGATGGGTTCGGTAGAAGGCCGATCGTTTCTGTGCTTACTCTCACTCGTATTTTCACATTTTCCTCTGTTTTCGTAAGCTGGATCCCAAGGAAATCATCCTAGCTTCAAGGTTATTGTTCCGCAGTTAGCATTCCAGCTTTGAAAGTCAGGTGCGCTGTCGATATTCCACAAACAGAAAATCGATCTTTCTGTGACGCGTATAGCGAATCCGCACATTGATAACAGATCCTCCTTAAGTCTAGACCAAACGATCAGTCACTACTGATGCTCTGACAGCCCAATCGACAGAACCGTGACGACCGCTGCCTCTCACACGCGCATACTCTTCGTCTCCCCTTCCTGCTTCTGCTCTCACACGTGAACACTCGCTAGGGTTGGGTTTGTTGAGATGGACGAATTCGAGAGTTTAATTCAGAGTTTCTCAGATGCCCTCAAGTCGAAATGGAAAGAGGTTACCGACGGCCCTCCGATCACCGACCAGATTCAGGCCTTCATCCACGCCGTTGATTGGACGGTGAGACCCTCTTCCACACCTGATATTGGCATATCTTTGAGCGAATCAGCTAGTTGGAATCCGCAGTCACACGGAGCATGCATGGATGTAGCTGGTTTGCCGTTCTTGCCTAGAAAATCTGTTCCTTTGAAATCTCACGGCCATCATTCCGATCTTTCCGCCGTTCGCGCGGCTCCGGTTGACGAATCGCAGGAGCCATGGATCATCGGGCTGCTGTCGTTCCACGCGGCGTTGCTTCTCATGGTGCTCCTCACTCGCCGATGGCAGAACTTTCAGTTCATCGTCTTCGCCTTCTGCGGTGAGTGCACGTGGTTTGCACGTGTTCAGGTGAGTGCACGTGGTTTCCACGTGGCCAGGTGACTGCACGTGGTTTGAACGTGGCCAGGTGAGTGCACGTGGTAATTGCACGTGACCAGGTGAGTGCACGTGGTAATTGCACGTGGCCAGGTGAGTACACGTGTCCAGGTGAATGCACGTGCCTTATGCAGTGAGTCCACGTGTCGTTTGAGATAACGTTCACTTCCAGATCGGATCCCTCATCTGTTTGTCCCCCGCACACATGGCAATGGCAGATACCTCCCACCCTTCGCCATGTGTGCATTGAGTACGTTCAAGGGGTGCACTACGATTGAACTTACAGCCCTTTCCCTATTTTCCCCTCATTGTTTGTGGTCGCGGCGCTGTTTGGCAATGCGCTTGTTCACCTTGATCCACCCCGTTTCTTCCCTTTCTGTTCACCCGCTCCCAAACTCCCTCCATTCCTCCGTCCTCCAACCCACCCATCTGCAACCCACCCATCCTACCCATCTGCGACCCACCCAACCCACGCATCTGCAAGAGGGGTTTAGCGTTCAGGACTTCAGGTTTACAAACTGTTGTATTCTGATGCACCCTCCGTAAACCCGCCCAACCCGAAACCCTGCAACTACAACAGGCATTCGGGTACTAGGGTGTGCTTATAACTGCATTCTCCGCTCGTTCTGTACCGCTCATTCTCCCGCTTACTCGTTGTGCACTTGTTTGGTAGCATAGTTAGACGAGTTTTGTTGAGACGTCTTAAAATTCTCAGAAACACCCTCAGACATACGGGCGTATCTAGCAGAGCACATAAACGCGGTCTACTCTCATACTGATAACTTTCGCCCTTCTCTTTCCATCTCTCCCCTATCCAACCGTGCAGCCATTCTAGTGTATCTAGCGGAGCACATAAATGCGTATGCGGCGCATCACTGGAAGCTGTTTTCCCGCCAAAACTACTTTGACCAATACGGGCTCTTCGTCTCAGTGCTCTTCTCAGGGCCTATACTCGTCATCGCGATTGTCATTCTGGTGAGAAATTTGCAAGTGCTGGTAACGGCTAGTTGTCTGACCCATCCAAGTCACCACTGCTCCAGCCCGCTACTTGTCATTGGGATTGCCAGTTTGGTAAGCAGGGACAGGTATGGACATAAGCGCACACGCGGCGCGGCGCTGCAGTACGGGCTCTTAGTCTCGGTGCTCTTCTCTGGGCCCATACTCGTCATCGGGATTGTCATCCTGGTGAGATAACAACACCAAGTGCTGGTAACTGCTAGTTCTAGGGTTCTTGACCCACCCGAGTCAGCTCTTCTCTGGGCCCATACTCGTCATCGGGATTGTCATCCTGATGAGAAGATATCAAGAGCTGGTAGCTTAGTTAGTTTCAAGTTTCCCCGAATTGCCTCTTCTCAGGCCCCATACTCGTCATCGCGATTGTTATTCTGGTAAGAAAATAGGAATTGTTAGTAGCTCAGCTCGTTGTCAGGTTGACCCACCTGAAGACCCACCCAGATCTGCTCCTCTCAGGCCCCATACTGGTCATCAGGATTGTCGTTCTGGTAAGCAGAGACGGTTATGCAGTGCACTGGTTGTGGAAGATTAGCTCAAGTCAGCTCTTCCCAGGCCCCATACTCGTTATCAGGATTGTCATGTTGCTGAGAAGATATCAAGTGTAAGGCACAGCTCGTTTTCATATTAACCCACCCAAATTAGATTTTAGAGATTGTCATTCTGATAAGCAGGGACCAAGTTTCTGTAGCGCAGGTAAATGAGTTACGTTGACCCGAGCTAGCTCCCTCCAGGCCCTATCTGAGCCATTGGGATTGTCATTCGGCGATCGGAGTTGCTACTCGTGCCGTAAGAAGTGCCATTCTGGTGTTCAGATGCTGGTGTTTGTCGTATTTTTAAGGTGCCTCATAAATCCTTGTGGCAACGCGATGCCAGTGTTTGTGACGCGGCATGGGTCAGACTTGATGAGACACTTCAAAAGCTGATTCAGTAAGCTAGGCCCTTCAAGGGACTCTAAACTTGATGAGACACCAATCTGGATTGTTTTTTTAGGCGCCTCAAGGGACTCACCGAATGTGATATATCTCGCGAAGGCTTCCGTTCCGCTGAGCTGGACTTTTGCTACACCCACGTGCATGCACCCCTTGCACCAGGCGTACTTCTCCTTCCATCGTATTCTCCTCCTTCCCTCCTCCCTGGTACCGTATGTGCATGTGCTGAACTTGGCTTGTTCCTTGCGTCATACTCCATCCATACACATGCTGCACTGTTTTTGTATGTAGCATGTGCAGGTGCAACTAATGATCAGAACATTTGAACTGATGGTTAAGAGGAAAAGGCAGAGCCTGACCTGGTGACTCCTCCTTGGTCATGCGGTAACCCCCTCCCTCATGATGCACTTTGTACATGCCTACTCAAACTTTTCCATGTGTAAGTGCAGGTGCAACTAATGATCAGTACGGTTGAACTGATGGTGAAGTGGAAGAAGGCAGAGCTCAAGCACAGGGCGAGAAAGGCAGCACAGCAGGAGAGGAGAAAAAAAGAGTAGATGGAGTGCGATAGCACATGCTGAGACGAGTTGCAGTTAGGTTCCCCCCCTCTCCTCCCCCCAACCCAAAACAAAAGACAAATTCTAATATGGTTTTGCCATCTATTGAACAAGAGAGTTTTGATGCAAAATATAGAAACCGCCAATGTTCAGTGTTTGTAAGGCATGGAGAAGAGATGGATCAAATCTAATTGGTATACTGGTACTTGGATGTACTTTCCATGCAAAACGGACTTCTTCCAGATTCATGCACGGGGCAAGCAATACAATTCATTCACAGCGCAGCACCACATAAGAAATCCACAAAACCGTAACAACACCAGCATTTGGGAATTGGAGCGTAATCTCTCAACATTGTGTCATTATGTTACCAAAGGATCACTACCAAACGCTAACACGCGTCGCACTGTAGTGGAGCAAACTCCAAACATTCACACTGGTAACGGCCGAACTGAGTCCACACCCTGGAGGATAAAAAACTTGCCACGGAAAAGCTTCCCACCCTTGATCTTCACCTTCGATTTATCCACCTTGCGACCGTTCACATCCTTCAGATCTTTCGCGCCCTTGATATCACCCTCCTCGTAAAGTCCGTCAAGAATGTTCGCGCGAATCAAACTCTTGTAGGAGCGAACCTCGCTCGGTTTCACGCTCGGTTTGATCATGGAGTAGAGCGCGTCAGGGACCGCGGAAGCGATGGCCAGGTCTTCTGGGATCAGCACGGTTTTGCGGTCAGCTTTGTCGAGAAAATCGTCCGTTGGGTTCCAATCGGTCTCTGAATCACACGAAAAAGGAATCGTAATATGTCCAAGGATTAGCAAAAGCATGCTATGGTTACAAACGAAGACTTCAGAAATCTAGCGAAGGATGAAAGGGTGAAAGACGCGCAAACGCACTCCCACACGCGCACACGTGCACGCATACGCGCGCACGCGCAGCGCGCTTACCCGTCAGTGGGGGATGATGTTATTTAGGAACGTGACCCTGGTCCAGTGACGGACGTTCAGTTTGGGGTCATTGAGCAAATATATTTTTTGAGAATTCTAAAAAAACAGATAAACACACACACGTAGCGCGCTTACCCAACTGGGGGATGATGTTATCGAGGAACGTGACGCTGGCACGGTGTCGGCCGTTCAGTTTCCGGTCATTGAGCGCGTCTCGGGCCTTCTTCACCTCCGCGATAAAATCTCCCTTGGTGGGCCGCGCCGCAGCAGGCGCGAGGAGCAACGCGAGAGTGCAGACGGCGAGAACGGTAAGGTACCAGGATGACGCCATGGCGTCCGTGTGAAGTAGAACAGGGGGTAACTGGAAAACTGACTTGTGCAGCAGTTAAGGAGCGGCACAGGTGTATCATTGAGCAGGGGTGTGAGTGACACCTTCGTGCTTGTCCTGTCACTGCGAGAACGTCCCTTCAAGGGTGCATCACAGCAGCAGGTTCTGTTAGTAACGTGATGTGACTGATGGCACATCTCCTGCAAGTGTTTCACTAGTTTCCCTGGAAAGATGCCCGCCAAGGGAGTGCTACTTAAACATTCGGAAGCAAGTGGTTTAAATTACGGATCGATACACCTTACTCACCCAAGACACTTGGCCAGTATCACACGGTTGAATGGCGGTTGGAGTTCAAGAATTGATAGATAACGATGGATCCACGATAACCGAGCTGGGATTTTTGTCGCAATTGCGAAATAGTTTTGGGAAATTGTTTATAGTTGTTTTGATTCTACACCACCCGGTCAAGGGTATCTTGTTCATGAATGTTCAGTCGGCTGTGAATTTCGTTGACCGAGACTTCTTTCCGCTGGCCTGGCAGGATCCAAATCGCTGTGCCGTGCCTGCCAGCCACCAGTCCCACCCCATTCCATCCCATGCCACACCTTCCGCCCCAGAAGGATCCCTTCGCCCGCCACTCTGGGGCGTGGGAGAAGTGAACATGCAGCGCCCTTTTCATTTTCCGAATGCCCCCATATTTGGAAGTGGCTGGTGACTTCGTTCCATTCAACAGTGCGGCTGGAAAAACTTTGGCAACTTCAGCTTTCATCAAGATCTTTGGAAAGTCTTCTCATCCCAGAAAGAATTGTTTCAAGACAGTAGTTTCAATATAGAGAAATTAGGGTAATACTTTGTATACCCAGTTTGTTGGCTGGAAATGATGGGGTTTGATAATGACCTCACAACCTTTCCTCACAACAACCTCCCCTTCAAGGCTGACTGGGATCGCCCCCAACCCCAACCAGCCAACTCCTTGGAGGATGCACTCTTCTTGACTCTCGCTTGCAGCTTCCCAAACCTATCCCTACGTTCAACCAGCCACGTCAGGCAGTCGACACCAGGGGTCTTGATTCGTTTTGTGCCACCCTGTCAAATCAAAGTTTCAGGTCGAAGTCACACTGCCACTGCAGTGTTGCTGCCGCGTCGTACCCTAGAAATGGCAGGGTGTTGAAATATTTCTGGTCCGGTATGGCAGGGTGAAATTTAAACTAGGCTGTAGCGGTCCAGTCTGAGTGAGTGTCTCCGTGGAAAGGACTTAGCCAGTTTTCGAGCACATCCGACGCTCGTTTTGGTGCGGTGTGAGTGTCTCTGTGGAAAGGACTTAGCCAGTTTTTGAGCACATCCGATGCTTGTTTTGTTGTATGTGTGAGTGTCTCCCGGCAAGGACTTAGCCAGCTCTCAAATGGCTGAGGGACAAAAAAAACTCAGTCAGACTGCTGCCACTACCGAACTCGGCCAAGGCAGTGTGCTACAAGAACGAACAACTGCAAAACAAGGGTCAAAATTTCACGAGGCCTGATCGTGACAGGGTGGTAGAACCATTGAAACCTGTATTCACAGTGTGGTTACGAAACATTACCCTGAAAAACAGGCGAAACAGGGTAAAATGCCCTGCAATCCTGAGGCATGGTCCACACCACTTCACCAGATTTGTTCCCTTGCATCTCGGAAACTGACATCGACTACTGATTGCAAAGCAATCCATTGCGTTACCCAAACTGCGTTATAAGGATAAGCGTGTAAAAAAATATTGAAAAAAAATGCAGAAGTTACACGTTTTCAGCAGTTTGGTTGCTTTCTATTACAAAACTCACTAACCAATACACAATTACTTTCAAATCTTAACTGGCGGCTGTAGTAGGTATAGAAACACACAGATTTATCTTGTAAGGATGCAATGGAAAGTGTGTTTTTATTCTAGAGATTGGGGCAATCTTCCAAATGTTTACCATCATGGCTAGGGTGTGGAAATCCTGAGATTTCTCAACAAACTACTCATTCGTCCAGCCATACAATTTTTGAGTTACAAAATTCGCCACCCCACCACTCCCCACCACTCTCCTCACCACCACCCCTAATTGTCACTCCAATTGTTCCTCCCTCCTCTCCTGCTCGCTTCCTCGTCAACCCCCGATCACCCCCCCAAACCCAATACCCAGAAACTCCCCTATCTGTCCCACCACCCACTGCTGCTCCACCGGCTTTTGAGTCATCTCAAAATCTGAGAACTCTCAAACCACCACTCCCCACCACTCCTCACCACTCCTCATCATCACTCCAATTATTCCTCCCTCCTCGCCTGCTCGCCTCCTCATCCACCCCCAGAACACCCCCAAACCCAATACCCAGAAACTCCCCTATCTGCCCCACCACCCACTGCTGCTCCACAGGCTTCAGCCCGCCTCCAAAGCGGTGCTCCTTCACACCTTCCGCCAGCTGGCACACCGCCATTGGCTCGCCGTTTTGGAACTGGACAGAGGAAGAGAGGAAAGCAGGGGAAGAGGGGGCGTGGGGTGGATTAGGGTTTCAATTCGTATTCTAGCATGATTGAAGAAAACATCTTGTGCCCTCAAGAGACAGGTGTATTTCGATCTTGCGCCCCTCACGCCTCCTCCCACTACTCCCCTACTAGCCCCTCCCCATTTCCCCTCCCTTCCCTTTCATACCCACCCCTTCCGCCACCACTCACCTCACCCCTCAACCACCACGGTACCGCATGAGATGTCGGCACATCTGCCCCTCTCAATGTGGCTCCAGAGGTCGCCCATGCGCCACGTGATGCTGAAGTCCCCTGCCCTCCCTTCCCTCCCAAGATGCCCACTCACCCCCTACAGCCACTCACCCAGTACCTCCACTCACCCCCTACAGCCACTAACCCAGTACCTCCACTCACTCCCTACAGCCACTCACCCAGTACCTCCACTCACCCCCTACAGCCACTCACCCAGTACCTCCACTCACCCCCTACAGCCACTCACCCAGTACCACCACTCACCCCTTAGACCACCACTCACCCCTTCTACCACCACTCACCCCTTCTACCACCACTCACCCCTTCTACCACCACTCACCCCTTCTACCACCACTCACCCCTTCTACCACCACTCACCCCTTCTACCACCACTCACCCCTTCAACCACCACTCACCCCTTCTACCACCACTCACCCCTTCTACCACCACTCACCCCTTCTACCACCACTCACCCCTTCCACCACCACTCACCCCTTCAACCACCACTCACCCCTTCCACCACCACTGCAGCGCGTGAGATGTCGGCACATCGGCCCCTCTCAGTGTGGCTCCAAAGGTCGCCCACCCGCCACGTGATGCTGAACTCCCCTCCTCCTTGGCGGTCAAACACTAGATCCACTGAGACTGCTACCGTCGACACCACCTTCTTGGCCAGACTGGGGAGGAGGGAGAGAAGCGAGGGAGGTAGAAAAGAATGCGTGGAAGAGAGAAAGAGCAGGCGATCCCCCTGCGTGCCCTCCCCCTTGACGGTCAAACACTAGATCCACTGAGACTGTTACCGTAGACACCATCTTCAAGGCCAGACTGGGGAGGAAAAAAAGAAGGTCACGGGAGGGAGGGAAAATGAGAGTGTGGAGGCCAGAAGGCGTTCGTGAATTCCCTTCACTGGCCCCCCTGGAGGTCAATCACTAGATCCACTGATACTGCCACTGTTGACACCACCTTCTCGGAAAGACTGGGGGGCAGTAAGGCAAAGGAGGACGAGAGAGAAAAGAGAAGGAGAAAAAGCGAGTGGGGGAGAAATAAAATGATACTATACCCCCGTTCTTTGAGAATTCTCAAAAATGATACTATACCCCCGTTTCCTGGAGCCATGGATGAGACAGAAGGGGATGGAGCTGACTTTTGAGTCGACTCAAAAGCAAACCCCCGTTCCCTGGGCCTTTCTCCCTGGCCGTCAATTACCAAGCCAACTCAAACTGCCACTGTGGATACTGCCTTCTTGGCCAGACTGGGGGGGTGGGACAGAAGGGAGAGAGGGAAAGCGCGAGTGTAAAAAATGGAAGACGACGGTGATTCCCCTTCCCATCCCTCCTTTGAAGAATGCCGTGAAGGGAAGAGGCGAGGAGAGGAGAATAGGAGGAGAAGAGGCGAGGAGAGGAGAATAGGAGGAGAAGAGGACACAAGGCAATGTCAATGGTGCAAGAGGCGAGAGAGGGAATAGACTGAGAGGGGATAGACTGAGAGGGGATAGACTGAGAGGGGATAGACTGAGAGGGGATAGACTGAGAGGGGATAGACTGAGAGGGGATAGACTGAGAGGGGATAGACTGAGAGGGGATAGACTGAGAGGGGATAGACTGAGAGGGGATAGACTGAGAGGGGATAGACTGAGAGGGGATAGACTGAGAGGGGATAGACTGAGAGGGGATAGACTGAGAGGGGATAGACTGAGAGGGGATAGACTGAGAGGGGATAGACTGAGAGGGGATAGACTGAGAGGGGATAGACTGAGAGGCGATAGACTGAGAGGGGATAGACTGAGAGGGGATAGACTGAGAGGGGATAGACTGAGAGGGGATAGACTGAGAGGGGATAGACTGAGAAGGGACAGAAGAGAATATACAGCATTCATGCCGTACACTTGCTCTCCATGGATGAGACAGAAGGTAATGGAGCTGACTTTTGAGTCGACTCAAAAGTCAGGGGTTAGACTGAGAATATATTTGCTCTCCATGGATGAGACAGAAGGGGATGGAGAATGCCGTGACGAGAAGAGATGAGGAGAGGAGATTACGAGGTGATGTAGTTTGAGTCGACTCAAAATTCACCTCGATGAGGAGAGGAGATTACGAGGTGATGTCCTTTAAGTGGTAGACGCGGAGAGTGAGAGGCAACTCACCCGCCGCCAACAAGCCAGAAGGGGATGGAGAAGGCCGTGAAGAGAAGAGGCGCGGAGAGGAAAAGGGGCGTTGGTGTGAAGAACGGGACAGGTTAGAGAGGGAGGTAAAACTCCATAGACTCACTCGCCGCCGACGAGCCAGAAAGGGATGGAGAAGGCCGTGAAAAGAAGCGGCGCACCCCCTGTGAGTGCCGTGGCAGTCCAAAAAGCAATGAAGGCATTCCATGCCTGCAGAGAGGGAGGTGAGGGGATATAGAAACACATAGAGATGAGAGGAACCGTGAAGAGATGAGATCGGAGATGAGATGAGACGAGGGCATATGGACGCATGAAGAGATGAAAAAGAAGCGGCGTGCCCCCTGTGAGTGCTGTGGCGGTCCAGAAGGCAAAATAGGCAATCCATGCCTGGGGGGAGGTGTGAGAGACACAGTGTCAGAAGCAAAAGAGCCTGAGAAGTGTCAGGAGAAAAACCACTGGAATGCGAACTGCCCAAGTGAAACATCAAGATCAACTTTTCGAGTTAAGCTGTGCAACTGCAAACTGAAATGACCTTTGAGTCGACTCAAAAGTCGCTCGAGTGAAGCTGTGCAACTGTAAAATAACGATGGAAAACCCGCCTCGTGGTAAAAGAGAGTGTTTTGAGACGAAAAAAAAAAAAAATCGAGCAAACCCGCTTGAGTGAAGCTGTGCTAAGTGTGAAGTTACAATGGCAAACCCGTCTGTGCCCATTGCCTCCCGTGTCAAGCCCGCAGGGGGAATGTGTATCACCAGTTGATTTTTGAGTCGACTCAAAAATCAACAGGGGGAATGTGCACCACCAGGACTTTGCCCTCTTCTGTCCTCTCCAGTACCTGCTCACTCACACAAGCCCGCAGGGGGAATGTGCACCACCAGGACGTGTTTTTTGAGAATTCTCAAAAAACACGCTGTGTACCACCAGGACTCTGGTGGAGGTAGTGGAGGAATGGAACGAAATGTGTTTGAAGTAGATTTTTGAGACGTCCCAAAATCTACTTCAAACATGTGCACCACCAGGACTTTGGTGGAGGTAGCGGAGGAATGAAGTTCTTGAGACGCCTCAAACACCCTCTCTACACGTCCCAAAACTCTGCTTCAATCAAACACGTGTACCACCGAGGTGACTTTTGAGTCGACTCAATTGCAACCTCTACTTCAAACATGTGCACCACCAGGACTTTGGTGGAGGTAGCGGGGGAATGAATTGCAATATGTGCTGTGCTGTGTTGTATTGTGAACTTACAATGGCGAATCCGCCTGTGCCCATTGCCTCCCGTGTCAAGCCCGCAGGGGGAATGTGTACTACCAGGAATTTGCCCTCTTCTGTCCTCTCCAGTACCTGCTCACTCACACAAGCACGCACACAGAGGCATGCACGCACAGACGCGAGAAGCCGATAGGGAGAGGAAGGAGGGCCGGAGGGTTGAATGGAAAGCATAATATAAATCAGCAGGTTGAACTCCTTTTGGTTAAGAGCTCCGTTGATTGAGCTTTTGAGAGTTCTCAAAAGTTCAAACAACGCTTTTGGTAAAGAGGAAAATTATTGGACTGGGTGCCTTTTGAGGACTGGACTGGGTGCCTTTTGAGGACTGGGTGCCTTTTGAGGCGCCTCAAAAGTCTTTGGTACAACTAAGTAGCTTGCAAACACCACCACTTGGGTTCCAGCCAGCAGGGCGGATGAGAAGAGCCCTTGGGGATCGGAAGGTGGCAGAGAGGGTTCACCTTGTGGCAGAGAGGGTTCACCTTGTGGGCAGAGAGGGTTCACCTTGTGGGTTAATGGCAAAGAGGTGGCTTCTGAGTCACTTGGGTTTGGGTTGAAATGCAGGGAAAAGAGATCTCTCACCACTTGTGTTCCAGCTGGGCGGGTGACGAGCCCCGGGAGATTGAAACGTGACAGGGAGGGTTTGCAGAGGCGTGACAGAGAAGTGGCTTTCAGACAATTGGAACGCTGGCTGGGAAGAGAGATCTCTCACTAACATACGTGGGAGGGAGAGTTCTCAAAAAACACGCTCGCTGGGAAGAGAGATCTCTCACCACTTGGGTGCCGGCAGGCCGGGTGACAAGAGCCCCGGGAGATTGAAACGCCACAGGGAGGGTTTGCAGGGGAGCAGCAGAAAGGTGGCTTCTGGGTCCTTTTTCAAGGAAATAGGAGCGCTTGGGTGAAAAAGTAAACGAAGACTCTCACTCACCACTTGGGTGCCAGCAGGCCGGGTGTCAAGAGCCCCCGGGGATTGAAACGCCACAGGGAGGGTTTGCAGAGGAGCAGCAGGGGACGGCCGAGGCACGTTGGAAGGAGGATAGGAGGAGGAGGTTTTGGGTTTCCTGAAAAGTGACCCGCCCATGCCAGCAGTGCTCAGGGAGGTGGGGGAGGAGGCTGACAACTGATTTTGTTGCTGGTGGTGGTGTGGGAGGTAGCGGTGGAGTGAGGATTCGTGGCAGGTCAGGGCGCTGATCACGTCTCGCGCCGTCTGTAGAGAAGGGGATGACACAGGGAGGTGGAGAAACGGATGATTGTTGGTGCTGGAGTGACTTTTGAGTCGACTCAAAAGTCAACACAGCGCCGTCTCGTGCTGGTGTTGTTTCTGGTGGTGGGGGAGGTGGTGGTGGAGTGAGGACTCGTTGCAGGTCGGGCGTTGATCATGTCTCGAGCAGTCTGTGGGGACGGGGAAGGGGGCGGGGGAAGAGGGGGAAGAGGGGGAAGAGGGGGAAGAGGTAAATGACTGTTGCGGGCAAAGCCAGTGGTGGTGGGGGAGGAAGCGATGGAGTGAGGATTCGTTGCAGGTCAGGGCGTTGATCACGTCTTGAGCCGTCTGGAGGGAGGGGTATGGACGAAACGGGGAAAGGAGGGGTGGTTGGTGAGAGATTGGTTGTTGTTGGTGCGACTTTTGAGAATTCTCAAAAGTTGCTGCTGGCGTCACTTCCTGAAGAGAGACTCGCCCATGCCAGCCAGCAGTACTCAGAGAGGTGGGGGGGGGGGGGGGGGGGGGGGGTAGGCAAATACGTGGACAGTAGCAATGCAACTGTCAATGCAAGTCAATGCAAGTCAATGCAAGTCAATGCAAGTCAATGCAAGTCAATGCAAGTCAATGCAAGTCAATGCAAGTCAATGCGAGTCTCACCTTGAACCTGTCCTCTGCTGCTGGCATGGGCAGACAGTCAAGCACCGTGACTAGCCGGGAGGGGATGGATGGATGGGGAGGACCCCGAGATTGTCACTACTTGTGAGTCAACTCAAGTCAACTCAAGTCAACTCAAGTCAACTCAAGTCAACTCAAGTCAACACGAGTCAATGCAGCCCAAGTCAACTCAAGTCACTCACCTTGAACCTGTCTTCTGCTGCTGGCATGAGCAGACAGTCCAGCACCGTGGCTAGCCGGGGGGAAATGGAAGAACCCAGAGACGACTGAAAGTCAATCTTGAGGCGAGCCTGGCAGTGGTTCAGAGGGGAAACAGAGGGGTGGAGGGAGATATGAAGGGGTAGATAGGAAGCTTGGATTACAACGGCTTTCTTGAGGCGAGCCAGGTGGTGGTCTGAAACTTGTACTTGATTGGCGTTTGAGACGTTGTAATTGGCGTTGGCCCGACACCTGGCTTGCCTCAAAACACTACTTCTATCAAGGTGGTTTTTGAGGCGCCTCAAAACTTAAAAAACACCATTGGCCCGACACCTGGCTGAGTTTTGAGGCGCCTAGTTGAGTTTTGAGGCGCCTAGTTGAGTTTTGAGGCGCCTTTAGTTGAGCTTTGAGGCGCCTTTAGTTGAGCTTTGAGGCGCCTTTAGTTGAGTTTTGAGGCGCCTTTAGTTGAGTTTTGAGGCGCCTTTCGTTGAGTTTTGAGGCGCCTTTCGTTGAGTTTTGAGGCACCTCAAAACAAAAAAACCACCGTTGGCCCGACACCTGGCTTGTCTCAGAACACTACTTCTATTACAACGGCATTCTTGAAGCAAGCCAGGTGGTGGGCTGATACTTGTACGCAGAGACTGGTAAGGCGCCCCAGGGGGGAGATGTATCGTGTGCCATTGTAGCAAGGTGACTTCTGAGTCGACTTGACGAGATGACTCTTGAGTCGACTCAAAAGTCACCTGTTGAGGCGGCCAGGTGGTGGGCTGATACTTGTACGCAAAGACTCTGTGAGGCAAGCTCTTGAGTCGACTCAAAAGTCACCTGTTGAGGCGGCCAGGTGGTGGGCTGATACTTGTACGCAAAGACTCTGTGAGGCAAGCTCTTGAGTCGACTCAAAAGTCACCTGTTGAGGCGGCCAGGTGGTGGGCTGATACTTGTACGCAAAGACTCTGTGAGGCAAGCTCTTGAGTCGACTCAAAAGTCACCCAGTATTCACTCCGTGAGGCAAGCTCGCACTGTTCTCAAGGTTGTGGCACCTAAGGGAAAGCGGAGGGCGGTTTTTGAGGCGCCTCAAAAACCACCTCAATGCTGAGGGAAAGCGGAGGGTGGTCGGCCGGGGAGCGTAGCTCCCAGCGAGCAGAGGTCGGACTGTGAACTCTCAACAGCTACTTTTGGTTTTTTTTGTTGTTTAGAGTTCTCTGGCGATACATACCTGAGGTGGTTTTTGAGGCGCCTCAAAAACGTCCTCTATGTTGTTTAGAGTTCTCTGGCGATACATACCTGAGGTGGTTTTTGAGGCGCCTCAAAAACCTCCTCTATGTTGTTTAGAGTTCTCTGGCGATACATACCTGAGGTGGTTTTTGAGGCGCCTCAAAAACGTCCTCTATGTTGTTTAGAGTTCTCTGGCGATACATACCTGAGGTGGTTTTTGAGGCGCCTCAAAAACCTCCTCTATGTTGTTTAGAGTTCTCTGGCGATACATACCTGAGGTGGTTTTTGAGGCGCCTCAAAAACCTCCTCTATGTTGTTTAGAGTTCTCTGGCGATACATACCTGAGGTGGTTTTTGAGGCGCCTCAAAAACCTCCTCTATGTTGTTTAGAGTTCTCTGGCGATACATACCTGAGGTAAAGCAGAGGGTGGCCGGCCGGCCGGAGAGCAGGAAGAGCAGTGTGGCTCCCATCCCAGCGAGTAGAGGTCTGATTGTGAACTCTCTCAACAGTGTTTTTTTCCTGGCCTTTTGAGTCCTCAAATATCACCAGCAATACCTGGGGGAAGGCGGAAGGTGGTCGGCCGGAGAGCAGGAAAAGCAGCGTGGCTCCCATCCCAGCGAGTAGAGGTCTGATTGTGAACTCTCTCAACAGTGTTTTTTTCCTGGCCTTTTGAGTCCTCAAAAATCTCCAGCAATACCTGGGGGAAGGCGGAAGGTGGTCGGCCGGAGAGCAGGAAAAGCAGCGTGGCTCCCAGCGAGTAGAGGTCTGATTGTGAACTGGCCCGATTCTGAAACTGCTCCGGTGCCATGTAGCCGTACTGGATGGAGGGGAGGGGAATAAGGTTGATGGTATACAATGAGCGAGGAGGGAAGAGGCAATTCAGCACCACGAGAGTGAACGTCAGACTGTGACTTTTGAGTTGACTCAAAAGGCAATTCAGCACCACGAGAGTGAACGTCAGACTGTGACTTTTGAGTCGACTCAAAAGGCAATTCAGCACCACGAGAGTGAACGTCAGACTGTGACTTTTGAGTCGACTCAAAAGGCAATTCAGCACCACGAGAGTGAACGTCAGACTGTGACTTTTGAGTCGACTCAAAAGGCAATTCAGCACCACGAGAGTGAACGTCAGACTGTGACTTTTGAGTCGACTCAAAAGGCAATTCAGCACCACGAGAGTGAACGTCAGACTGTGACTTTTGAGTCGACTCAAAAGGCAATTCAGCACCACGAGAGTGAACGTCAGACTGTGACTTTTGAGTCGACTCAAAAGACAATTCAGCACCACGAGAGTGAACGTCAGACTGTGACTTTTGAGTCGACTCAAAAGGCAATTCAGCACCACGAGAGTGAACGTCAGACTGTGACTTTTGAGTCGACTCAAAAGGCAATTCAGCACCACGAGAGTGAACGTCAGACTGTGACTTTTGAGTCGACTCAAAAGGCAATTCAGCACCACGAGAGTGAACGTCAGACTGTGACTTTTGAGTCGACTCAAAAGGCAATTCAGCACCACGAGAGTGAACGTCAGACTGTGACTTTTGAGTCGACTCAAAAGGCAATTCAGCACCACGAGAGTGAACGTCAGACTGTGACTTTTGAGTCGACTCAAAAGGCAATTCAGCACCACGAGAGTGAACGTCAGACTGTGACTTTTGAGTCGACTCAAAAGACAATTCAGCACCACGAGAGTGAACGTCAGACTGTGACTTTTGAGTCGACTCAAAAGGCAATTCAGCACCACGAGAGTGAACGTCAGACTGTGACTTTTGAGTCGACTCAAAAGGCAATTCAGCACCACGAGAGTGAACGTCAGACTGTGACTTTTGAGTCGACTCAAAAGGCAATTCAGCACCACGAGAGTGAACGTCAGACTGTGACTTTTGAGTCGACTCAAAAGGCAATTCAGCACCACGAGAGTGAACGTCAGACTGTGACTTTTGAGTCGACTCAAAAGGCAATTCAGCACCACGAGAGTGAACGTCAGACTGTGACTTTTGAGTCGACTCAAAAGGCAATTCAGCACCACGAGAGTGAACGTCAGACTGTGACTTTTGAGTCGACTCAAAAGGCAATTCAGCACCACGAGAGTGAACGTCAGACTGTGACTTTTGAGTCGACTCAAAAGGCAATTCAGCACCACGAGAGTGAACGTCAGACTGTGACTTTTGAGTCGACTCAAAAGGCAATTCAGCACCACGAGAGTGAACGTCAGACTGTGACTTTTGAGTCGACTCAAAAGGCAATTCAGCACCACGAGAGTGAACGTCAGACTGTGACTTTTGAGTCGACTCAAAAGGCAATTCAGCACCACGAGAGTGAACGTCAGACTGTGACTTTTGAGTCGACTCAAAAGGCAATTCAGCACCACGAGAGTGAACGTCAGACTGTGACTTTTGAGTCGACTCAAAAGACAATTCAGCACCACGAGAGTGAACGTCAGACTGTGACTTTTGAGTCGACTCAAAAGGCAATTCAGCACCACGAGAGTGAACGTCAGACTGTGACTTTTGAGTCGACTCAAAAGGCAATTCAGCACCACGAGAGTGAACGTCAGACTGTGACTTTTGAGTCGACTCAAAAGGCAATTCAGCACCACGAGAGTGAACGTCAGACTGTGACTTTTGAGTCGACTCAAAAGGCAATTCAGCACCACGAGAGTGAACGTCAGACTGTGACTTTTGAGTCGACTCAAAAGGCAATTCAGCACCACGAGAGTGAACGTCAGACTGTGACTTTTGAGTCGACTCAAAAGGCAATTCAGCACCACGAGAGTGAACGTCAGACTGTGACTTTTGAGTCGACTCAAAAGGCAATTCAGCACCACGAGAGTGAACGTCAGACTGTGACTTTTGAGTCGACTCAAAAGGCAATTCAGCACCACGAGAGTGAACGTCAGACTGTGACTTTTGAGTCGACTCAAAAGGCAATTCAGCACCACGAGAGTGAACGTCAGACTGTGACTTTTGAGTCGACTCAAAAGGCAATTCAGCACCACGAGAGTGAACGTCAGACTGTGACTTTTGAGTCGACTCAAAAGGCAATTCAGCACCACGAGAGTGAACGTCAGACTGTGACTTTTGAGTCGACTCAAAAGGCAATTCAGCACCACGAGAGTGAACGTCAGACTGTGACTTTTGAGTCGACTCAAAAGGCAATTCAGCACCACGAGAGTGAACGTCAGACTGTGACTTTTGAGTCGACTCAAAAGGCAATTCAGCACCACGAGAGTGAACGTCAGACTGTGACTTTTGAGTCGACTCAAAAGGCAATTCAGCACCACGAGAGTGAACGTCAGACTGTGACTTTTGAGTCGACTCAAAAGACAATTCAGCACCACGAGAGTGAACGTCAGACTGTGACTTTTGAGTCGACTCAAAAGGCAATTCAGCACCACGAGAGTGAACGTCAGACTGTGACTTTTGAGTCGACTCAAAAGGCAATTCAGCACCACGAGAGTGAACGTCAGACTGTGACTTTTGAGTCGACTCAAAAGGCAATTCAGCACCACGAGAGTGAACGTCAGACTGTGACTTTTGAGTCGACTCAAAAGGCAATTCAGCACCACGAGAGTGAACGTCAGACTGTGACTTTTGAGTCGACTCAAAAGGCAATTCAGCACCACGAGAGTGAACGTCAGACTGTGACTTTTGAGTCGACTCAAAAGGCAATTCAGCACCACGAGAGTGAACGTCAGACTGTGACTTTTGAGTCGACTCAAAAGGCAATTCAGCACCACGAGAGTGAACGTCAGACTGTGACTTTTGAGTCGACTCAAAAGGCAATTCAGCACCACGAGAGTGAACGTCAGACTGTGAAGCGACCCGGTTCTGAAACTGCTGTGGCGCCATGTAGCCGTACTGTATGGAGGGGACGGACGGGGAATGTTTATGGAGTAGAATGAAGAGGGAAGTGGCAAAATATCACCATGGGATTTCACTGGTTCTGAAATTTCTCCGGTGCCATGTAGCCGTACCGGGTGGTGGCAGGGAGAGTGGGGAGAGACGGGTTGTGGCATCAGAGTTGAGATAGCACAGCTTGGGATGGGAGTGAGGGTAGAGGAGCAACGTTTTTTGAGTCGACTCAAAAAGAGGAGCAACGAGTGAGTAGCGGTTAGACTGTGAGGTCGCCCTGTTCTGAAGTTGCTCTGGTGCCATGTAGCTGTACTAGTGGGGAGTGGGGAGGGGAGGATTATCACATCAAGGTTAGGATGGCACAACTTGGGAGGGGAGAGAGGGTAGGGGACCAATGAGTGAGTGAGGTCGGACTGTGAGCTTGCCTTGGTTTGAAACCGCTCTCGTGCCATGCAGCTATACTGGTCGGAAAACGGGCGTTTGGTTCAGGTAGAACCGATTCTGGTACTCTTCTTGCTCATGTTCGATACAATCTCAACTCGCTATAGTAACCACCTAAAAGTAGTCTCAACGCACCGTACCAACGACTGTGCTGCCAATAGAAGCATCACTCCTCCCTGATGCAGATGCTCCCGCTCAGTACTCACCACAATCCCAACTTGGTATAATCACTATTCGTTATAGGCTCAACGCACCGTACCAACAACTGTGCTGCCGATAGGAGCATCACTCCTTGCCGGCGCAGATGCTTCCTGCACTGCCCCGAAGTCAACCACCTGAACCGTGCCGTGTGATTGGTCCAGAATTATGTTGTCAGGCTGCAAGCCAGGGAAAAGAGAGAAAATAAGGAAAAAATAAAGAAAAAAATGGTGTAGATGAAGACAAGAGCCAAGAGCAAGTGAAGGTTGATGGAGCCAGTTTTGAGTCGACTCAAAAGAAGGTTAATGAAGCTAGTGGCTGCATGCGCGCACTCAGGAAGAGCCCATGTTTGTTTGATGAAATGGAAGCAATGTTCTTCTGAGACATGGTTTGTCAAGGAATGGGAAACCTTTCGTTTTGCACTGTTTTTTTTCTGTTACATAAATGAAAAACAAAAACAATTAGGAGACACACGTGGAAAACAAAAATCAAATAAAGAACATGATACTACATGAAGTGAAGCACATGCCTTGATGTCCCGATGCACCACAGGAGGTCGAAGCGACTCCAAATAAGATAAGACTTCCAAGACCTGGTGATGGTGAATGATGGATGGTGGATGGTGCATGGTGCATGGTGCATGGTGGATGGTGCATGGTGGATGGTGCATGGTGGATGGTGCATGGTGGATGGTGCATGGTGCATGGTAGATCGTGCACATCAAATGGCATGCAACATAAAAGTGATGCCAAGGGACACACAGCGACATGAAAATGATATGTTAAGGAGGAACACAATAACGAGTCATGCACACAAAGCGACACGCATTAATGCCAATGGTGACCTTCTGCTACGTCCCTCCCCACCATTCGCCAACCTCTCTCCATCTCTCTCCATCCCTCTCTCCCAAGGCAAGTGACACTGGACTGGACCCCCCCAGCCTTTTACTCCAGTCTCAGTTGTAGACTCAGCCTGAGGCCACAACTGAGCCTCACTTGTCTCAGTTGTGGACTCCCGTCAACACCACCCCCCTCAACCTCCTTCGCTGCCCAATGCACCACCCCAGACACCTTAGCACCAAACCTCTCCCAACCTCCTCCTCTTCCAATGCACCACCCCAGACACCTTAGCACCAAACCTCTCCCAACCTCCTCCTCTTCCAATGCACCGCCCGCAGGCTCACCTGAATCGGCCCCACTCTTCCCTGAATGCCAATCCGCACCACCTCCTCCTCCGTTCCCCTCCACCCCCCGACCACTAGAGCTGCCAGCGCCTTCTCGGCAGTTCTGGTAGAGAAGTGCTGGTAATTGCTAGTTCTAGGGTTGGCCAGTGCCAGCGCCTTTTCTGGCAGCGCCTTCTCGGTTCCACTCTGGGCCAACACTCTCTTGCCTCTAGACGCACCTGAGGCGCTCAATCTCTCAAAAGCAACTCCACTCTCTCTCACCTGCATACCAAGCGGCACCACCGCATCTTCAATTCCCCTCCACCTGCCCGCCACTAAAGCGGCCAGCGACTGCCCCTGTGGTAACTGTGCTAAATCGGCTCCTCAAGAAGGGAAAGGAACCCGTTGGGTCATCTGAAACCCCCTTCTTTCAATCACCTTGATGCCAATACCAACCCCCTTCTTTCAATCACCTTGATGCCAATACCAACCCCCTTCTTTCAATCACCTTGATGCCAATACCAACCCCCTTCTTTCAATCACCTTGATGCCAATACCAACCCCCTTCTTTCAATCACCTTGATGCCAATACCAACCCCCTTCTTTCAATCACCTTGATGCCAATACCAACCCCCTTCGTTCAATCACCTTGATGCCAATACCAACCCCCTTCGTTCAATCACCTTGATGCCAATACCAACCCCCTTCGTTCAATCACCTTGATGCCAATACCAACCCCCTTCGTTCAATCACCTTGATGCCAATACCAACCCCCTTCGTTCAATCACCTTGATGCCAATACCAACCCCCTTCGTTCAATCACCTTGATGCCAATACCAACCCCCTTCGTTCAATCACCTTGATGCCAATACCAACCCCCTTCGTTCAATCACCTTGATGCCAATACCAACCCCCTTCGTTCAATCACCTTGATGCCAATACCAACCCCCTTCGTTCAATCACCTTGATGCCAATACCAACCCCCTTCGTTCAATCACCTTGATGCCAATACCAACCCCCTTCGTTCAATCATCTTGATGCCAATACCAACCCCCTTCGTTCAATCACCTTGATGCCAATACCAACCCCCTTCGTTCAATCATCTTGATGCCAATACCAACCCCCTTCGTTCAATCACCTTGATGCCAATACCAACCCCCTTCTTTCAATCACCTTGATGCCAATACCAACCCCCTTCTTTCAATCACCTTGATGCCAATACCAACCCCCTTCGTTCAATCACCTTGATGCCAATACCAACCCCCTTCGTTCAATCACCTTGATGCCAATACCAACCCCCTTCGTTCAATCACCTTGATGCCAATACCAACCCCCTTCGTTCAATCACCTTGATGCCAATACCAACCCCCTTCGTTCAATCACCTTGATGCCAATACCAACCCCCTTCGTTCAATCACCTTGATGCCAATACCAACCCCCTTCGTTCAATCACCTTGATGCCAATACCAACCCCCTTCGTTCAATCACCTTGATGCCAATACCAACCCCCTTCGTTCAATCACCTTGATGCCAATACCAACCCCCTTCGTTCAATCACCTTGATGCCAATACCAACCCCCTTCGTTCAATCACCTTGATGCCAATACCAACCCCCTTCGTTCAATCACCTTGATGCCAATACCAACCCCCTTCGTTCAATCATCTTGATGCCAATACCAACCCCCTTCGTTCAATCACCTTGATGCCAATACCAACCCCCTTCGTTCAATCATCTTGATGCCAATACCAACCCCCTTCGTTCAATCACCTTGATGCCAATACCAACCCCCTTCGTTCAATCACCTTGATGCCAATACCAACCCCCTTCGTTCAATCACCTTGATGCCAATACCAACCCCCTTCGTTCAATCACCTTGATGCCAATACCAACCCCCTTCGTTCAATCACCTTGATGCCAATACCAACCCCCTTCGTTCAATCATCTTGATGCCAATACCAACCCCCTTCGTTCAATCACCTTGATGCCAATACCAACCCCCTTCTTTCAATCACCTTGATGCCAATACCAACCCCCTTCTTTCAATCACCTTGATGCCAATACCAACCCCCTTCTTTCAATCACCTTGATGCCAATACCAACCACCTCGCCCTCTGTCCCCCTCCACCCACGTGCCACCAAAGCTGCCAGCGACTGCCCCTGCACCCTCTCAATTCCTCTCCGAGCTCAGCCCACACTCTCCAGCCTCGAGGCATAACAGTGGGCCCACCCTCTCTCTCACCTTAATACCAATCCGCACCACCTCCTCCTCGGTTCCCCTCCACCCGCCCGCCACTAGAGCAGCCAGCGACTGCCCGTGTGCCAAGCGCTGCACGAGATAAAAGGCACGGTCTGTTGCAGTGTCCTCCTGGATGGGTGGTGGGAATGTGAGGGGTGAGGGAGTGGGAAAGTGATAAAGTGGGTATGTGGAGAGAAGGGGAGCAAAGGCTGCTTGCCAGTTACTGCCCCTGCGCCAGGCATTGCACGAGATAGAAGGCGCGGTCTGTTGCAGTGTCCTCCTGATTGGTCAGTCGAGAGATGTGATAATAGCGAGGAGGGGATTGAGTGGCAGTGCAGGGATTGAGGGGAGAGGAGGAGAGGGAGGGACCGGGGAGGGGAGCCTGTCAGTGAGTGGATTGGGGAGGGTGGGAGTGCGCCGATTCGTTGAAAACAGGGAACGAGATTCGTTGAAAACAGGGAACGAGATTCATTGAAAACAGGGAACGAGATTCGTTGAAAACAGGGAACGAGATTCGTTAGCAAGCCTAACATGGAAAGCGAATAGATCCCTTGAGAAGTGACACAAGCAATCCAAATTCCTGAAACTGCGATTCAATACGATCAGAAATACGTGACCTCCAAACCTGACCTTGATAATGGTTATACACCACCATCTAGAGAACTCTGTCCATAATTTTTGCCCCTTGTTGCCCTTTCGTGTGTTCCACATCAGCTTACCTCGAAATAATCAATGTACTGCGGAATGCCGGGATGGTTGAGGCTGCGAAGCACTCTAGCTTCCCTCTCAAATAGGTCCAAATCCTGAGAAAGGGTGAAGCGGACAAGATTGAACGAAGAAAGCAGTAGCTGGGAGTGAAAAGGCAAAAAAAAGTAGAAGAATAACAAGGGTGGAAGCAAGAACCACGTTTTTGTTGAACATGTCTAGAGGGAGATTCATAAAAATAAACCGCCCGCCATCGCAACCGTCCATTCACCTGGCCAGTTTCCATCAACTCAATCAACCGCCCATTCTTGCAACCCACCTTCCATCATCTCAACCGTCCATTCACCCACCTTCCACCTCGTCGCGGACCGCAACGAAATGCATTTCACCGCGACGCGTTCCCCCTCTCCTCCTTCCGCCGTCCCCCCTTCCGCCACCACTTCCGCCTCGTACAGCCTTCCGCTCGACCCCTCCCCCAGCAGCCGCACGATGCGGTACTTTCCGCCCACCACGTCCCCCGCCGCTACGCGCTCCGCGCGTTCTCCGGTTCCGTTAGAGAGCGACGCGCTAGGCGGCCGGCGCAGTAACGGGGATGAAGCCTGTCGTTGCGCGTCACGACGCGGAGAGGGGAAAAAGGGCGAAATGGGGGAATTGCGAAAGATGCCGCTGCCGCTGCTGCTACAGTGCCGGCTGCTACTACTAATTCCACTCCTGCTGATGCTGCTACCGTCACTCTTGCTAATGCGGCCCGAATTCCCGAAACTTCCCGGAATTGCCGCGCTTGCGGTCCTTAAGGAACGCGCGCATTGTGCAGAGGAGATGGTGGCACGCGCGGCGGAGGAGTTAGCGGCGGTGGGGCGGAGGCGGAGGAGAGTGCAGGCGCGGGCGGACATCGTGCAGGGGAGAGGCGGAACGCGGGCCTAGGTTCCGCGAAGGAGCTGCGTGTGAGAAACAAAGCAGAATCTCTCAGGAGAAATACCAGGTCGAGAATGCAAGCAGCTATTTCATGAATTTAGTGGATGGGGGAAATTGTGCGGGCTGTGAATTCGAGTTGACCAGATGGCTTTCCCCCTTGAGATTCTCCCTAGTCCCGACCAATTGCCCTTCTGACAAAATTGGCACGTCACGTTCGATTGCGCCACGCGGCAAAATCGACAGGGGCGGAAACTCGACTCCGCGCACACGCAAGCTTTGTGGTGATTCATGCTTCGTCTGTAGTGTTGCGATTGTAGTGGTAGATTATGGACGACGTTGCGGTCAGAGTCTCCTGAAATATATCAATTTTACATCCATATGAAAGGTCTATATTGCATATTCGAGCTACCAGTGATTCCACAGTTACTCTTACCACTACATTCTGATAGTCGCATTGTACTGAGAGCATAGCTACATATCCTGATTACAAAATTCCAAAGCAGCTGTGTTAATGTTCCCCTAACAATCGATTAAAAAATGCGACATACTAATTTCAACTAGCAACGTATGGCGCCCGCTTTTGGATTGGCGTTGTGCCAATGCCGCCTCGAATAGACGATTCGCCACTGCTGCTGTCAGCCGTCGATGTGATTGGTCATTGCTGCTGCCAACCGTTGTTGCTGTCAGCAAATGCTGGCTGGCCATCAATGTCGTCGTTAGCTTTTGATGGAAACACGGCAAGCGCCGTCTCACTGGATTGTCGTACATAACACGCAGTTACACCAGCACTGTCACAGCATGCCCTGCTGTGACTCCATGCGCTAAAACTCACTCCACCAATCACCTCCTGCCTAGGCTGCTGTCGCACACTGCTGCTAACACGTGTTACCATGTTGCCACGGATGTTACCACACATGTTACAAGGACCATTAGTGTCGGTTTTTTACCACACATCACACCACCACTCTCAGCATGCCCGGCTGTGTCTCCATGAACTGCGCTCGCTCCTCCACCAGATGCCGTTGCTATGTGTTACCACGCGTTACTGCTGTTACCATGTTACCACACATCACACAGCACCCGTAGCATGCCAGGCTGTGTCTCCATTAACTGCACTCGCCCCTCCTCCACCATATACCACTCTACTGCCCAGCCTGCTCTTGCACACTGCTGCTGTCACATGTGTTACCATGTTACCACAGGGCACTCTCAGCAGTCTCAGCTGCCCATCACACCACTCTCATCCCAGCATGCCGGGCTGGGCCTCCATGAACTGCACTCACTCCTCCTCCACCGTACGTGTTACCACATGTTGCACCACCACTCTCAGCATGCCGGGCTGTGTTTCCACCACTCTCACTCCTCCTCCACCAAATACCGCTCCACTGACTACCCTGCTTCCGCACACTGCTGCTGTTATACCCTCTACCACACGTTACACTGTTACCACATGTTACACCACCACCCTCAGCATGCCGGGCTGTGTTTCCATGAACTGCACTCGCCCTTCCTCCACCAAAAACACCTCCACTGACTAGCCTGCTGCCACAGACTGCTGCTGCCACGCGCATTACCATGTTACCACGCATGGTTACAATGTTACCTTACCACAAGTTACACCACCACTCGCAGCATGCCGGGCTGGGTTTCCATGAACTGAACCCGCTCCTCCTCCACAAGATACCGCTCCACTGCCAGTGGCAGGCGCGGGGGCGCTCGCCCCTTGGTGTGGTGGCCCGTGCCCACACACACGTACACCTGCCGGTGAGTTAGGTATTGAGAAACAGGAGTTATGGCAGTTCTGAGATGTCTCAACACTCGGTGGCAGGCGCGGGGGCGCTCGCCCCTTGGTGTGGTGGCCCGTGCCCACACACACGTACACCTGCGGGTGAGTCGGGGGTTGACAAATAAGAGCTTAGGGTAGACACGTGGATGGTGGAGTGGGGTTGGTACTCTGCGAGGCGCGGGGGCACGCAGCCCTTGGTGTGGTCATTTGGTGTGCCACAACCCTAAACCCTACGCACACGTACACCTGCGCTGCGGGTCATTTGGGATAAAGGAACAGGAGATAGGGATGGTGGAGAGGGATAGTATTGGGACGGCCTAAGAGCCGGGCTTGGTGTGGTGGCCCATCCCCATACACCTGCTGTGCAAATCGGGGGTGAATGTCACAATCTTCAGACATGGCAGATCGATCTGATTCACCTTTGCATGCACAGATACACCTGAATCAGGGCCTGGTCTGGGAGATGACCGGAAATATGTGACCCAAAGAATGGAAATGCAAATCAGGAGCCAAATCTGAAACAACCCTGTTCACCCTAACCCCCTTGCCTGCTCACCTGCTGTCGCTGCTGCGTGGAGCGAGCAGCACTCCTCATAGCGGCTATCTCCCGCTTCAGCATGGGTATCGCCTCCCCCACATGCAGCCCGTGCAGGAGGCGCAAGTACCAGACCAGGCCCAAAACCCATACCAGGCACAACAACCGTACCAGGCCCAACACGCATATAAGGCTCAAAAGGCACACCAGTCCCGTGATTGAAGAAGGGTTTTGAGACGTCTCAAAACCCTTCTTCAATCATAAGGCTCAAAAGGCACACCAGTCCCCTGCCATTCTCTCTCACCTGATGTTGCTGCTGGGTGGAACGAGCAGCACTCCGCATGGCGGCTATCTCCCTCTTCAGCATGGTTATCGCCTCCCCCACATGCAGCCCATGCAGGTCCAACACCCGCCAATAAACTTCTTCCCCCACCCCCTCTTCCGCTCACCTGCTGTCGCTGCTGGGTGGAGCGAGCAGCGCTTCTCATTGCGGCTATCTCCCTTTTCAGCATGGGTATCGCCTCCCCCACATGCAGCCCGTGCAGGTCCAACACCCTTGCCTCTCCTCCCTCGCCAGCCACTCCACCCAGATAGCCCGACGCCGCATTGCTGGGAAAAGGGCAGAGCGTGTGGGGGGGTTGAGAAACAAGGGAAATATGGGGGGGTAAGCATGCAGCCCACGGAGGTTCTTCAACACCTGCGCCTCTTCCTCTTCGCCTGCCCCTCCACCCAGTATCAATAGTACGATCCATTAATGTCCATTTTCACTGTTACTTTGCTGGGCCTACCAAGTTCTGAAGATGGCATCGCTGGCATTGGCGTGAGCTGCCTTCATCTGCTCGTTGTGCCACTGCCCCCGAGCGCTCAGCCAAGTCAGCTCCTTGGCTGCTGTGCTTCTGCCTCATGCCCTCTCATACTCCTCTTTGCAAGCAAGCAAGCATGCAACCAACGGCAGAAGCAATAACAACAACAGCAGCAGCAGGATCCATACCGGGTTCGGAAAATGGCATCGCTGGCCTTGGCATGGGCTGCCTTCATCTGCTCGTTGTGCCACTGACCCCGCGCGCTCAGCTCCTTGGCTGCTGCCTTGTTGCCCGCCAGGTACGCTTGCGTGGCCTGCACGGAGGAAAGGAGCAAGATAGCAAAGAAAGAGGCTTTGAGATCGAAAGAGGCTTTGAGAAAGAAAGAGGCTTTGAGATCGAAAGAGGCTTTGAGATCGAAAGAGGCTTTGAGAAAGAAAGAGGCTTTGAGATCGAAAGAGGCTTTGAGATCGAAAGAGGCTTTGAGATCGAAAGAGGCTTTGAGAAAGAAAGAGGCTTTGAGATCGAAAGAGGCTTTGAGATCGAAAGAGGCTTTGAGATCGAAAGAGGCTTTGAGATCGAAAGAGGCTTTGAGATCGAAAGAGGCTTTGAGATCGAAAGAGGCTTTGAGAAAGAAAGAGGCTTTGAGAAAGAATGCAGACGGAATGACTAGGTGCTTCCTTGTTGCCCACTACACATGTTTGCATGGACTGCAGGTGGGGAATGAAGTAGAAAGAGAAAACACGAAAGCCAACAGAATCAGTGTACGAAGGAGGGGAAGAAGTGGCACTGACCTGCTCGAAGCACGCATTTCGTATTCTTGCATGGTCCCGCGCCTCTTCCCTCATGTCTCCGTATAGGTTAGCTGCATGAGAGGATACGATAAGTGGAAATGGAAAATAGTTTGGAGAATGCTAATTAAATGGTCCCAAGCCTCCTCCATGTCTCCATACAAGTTGGCTACATGGGGGGAAACTTTGAATGGACATGCGTAACAGATTTGAGAATGCTCAATACGGTGTCTCCCAGACTTCCTCCCTCATGTCTCCATACAGGTTCGCTGCATGGGGAGAAAACGGTAAGCGCACGAAGATGGGTTATGAGGTGACAATAGATATCCTCCTGCAACAACATGCCACATGTCTGACTGAAAGTGCACCAGATCACAACTCACCGACAGCGTTGCCAGTTTCCAGCCATGGCTGTGCTCCTCCTCTTCCTGAAAACTCGTACCCCCCCCCTCCCCCTCCTCCTCCTCCCCCTCCCCCTCCCCCTCCCCCTCTTCGCCCTGCTCCGCCCATACCCCCCTCCCCTCCCCCGCTTCTCTCCGCCTGCCCGCCCCCCCACGCGTTCTGAGTCGCTGCCCCCGGGGGTAACGGCTTTCGCAGCACCCCGGCGAAATCAGGAACAGAGCCTTGCATGGGGCGAGTGTCAGGGCCTTGAGAGGAGGGGCGCGGGCGGAGCATGGGGGAGGAGGAGGCGGGGAGGGGGTCTAGGGGGGAGAGAGAGGGGAAGTCGAGAGAGTCGAGGGAAGGGGGGTGCGCTGAGGGGGGTGGGGGACGGCGGTGGGTTGGTGATGGGAGAGTCATTTCGTCCTGAAGCTGTGAAGGTAAGAATAAAGTAGGGGAAAAGGAAGAAGGAATAAGGAGGGGGATGGGGGGTGGGGGTGGAGGCGGTGGCGGTGGGCGCAAAGAGAGGGGTTTGCGCAATGTGACGTTTGGTGTGGTTACATGTATTCAGGATGAGAGCTGGCGAAGGTAAAACATATGTCAAGAAACGTCACACGCCCCAATTACAGTGCACCGCAGCATCATATACACCCCAACCGCATAGATTCCAGCTAAACCAGATTGAACCCATGCCAACCGCAAAGCACACCTGCAGCTGGGTCAGGATCTCCATGGTCCGAGGAAGGTCTGCGCCATTAGAGAAGAAGATCTCTGCCAGGGTGCTTATACTGAACATGGGGAACTCTGTAGCGAGTATGCGCACAGGATCGTGCCGATCGTCTCCGCCCACCCCTTCTTCCGGTCCCCCCCATCCAACTGGCATCGACATCGCTCTTTCTCTCACTCCCCCACCTTCCCCCCCCCACATGCCGTCTCCTCCCCCTGGTCCCCCCATTCCCCCGCCTCCCCCCATCCCTCCCCCCATCCCTCCCCCCATTCCTCCCCCCATGTCCCCTCCCCCTGCCGGACCGGGGAGTTCAAACGGTGGGGGGTGCATGGCTCTCGGGTCAGCATTCGGGGGAGGGGGATAACCCCTAGCGGGGCTGTTGAAGGGGTGATGGTGTGGGGGAGGGGGAGAGGCAGCACCAGGCAACGGCATAGACATGGATGTTACAGGGTTACCACCAAATCGGGAGAGAGGGCCTCCGGGGGAGGCATAGGGAGGAGGACCCCTGGCAGGGCTCTGCTGCGGACTCATGTGGTTAGATTTAGGGTTAACCCCGCCGTATGGGGGGTATCTGTTGGGTGTGCCCATGGGAGAATGGGGTACTCCTCCGCGGCCAATCACAGGGCTGGAAGGGACGGGACCAACAGAGCCCGGTGGTCCGCCAGGTGGGGGCCCAGGTGAAAACCCAGGTGGGCCTGGAGCAGGTCTCCAGGCAGGGCTGGGGGCGTTTCGAGGAAGCAGGTGTGAGGGAGGAGGACCGTGATAGGGAGCGGAAGGATCATAGGAAGGCTCGAAAGGCCTGTCAAGGGAAGCTTCGTAGGAAGGTCCCTGAGCTGGGGAGCCCATGAGAGGGCCACCAGGTGAGCGATGCGGCATGTGGTGGTGCTGGCCAGGTCCGGAGAGACCGAGAGCGGTGCGATGTGGTGCAATGTGGTCTAGAGCCGAGTCTGACTTAACCTCCTCGAGAATATTCCCCATGGATTGAGCTGCAGGGGGGCCACCAGCGGGGCCTACACCCTGCCGAAACGAGTACCCATACCCCTGCCTGTCAAAACTGTCTGGGCCACCAGAAGGAGCAGCACCACCAGCACCCCCAGCAGCAGCCGAACTGGACATGTGACCGCTATCTAGAGACGGCATGCTAGCTGCATGACGATGCAGGCTATTTCCACCTACCCCACCAGTATCCATCTCCATTCCCATCCCTCTCTGCAAAAACCCATCCCTCCCATCCCGCCCCGCCCCTCTCCCTTTCGGCGACTCATCGAAGCTCAGAAGCTCATCTGGCAGCCGGTCACGCCAGAAGCGGCGGTACTCGTCATCAGAGGCGTTGCTGTTGTGCGACTGTGACCGGCTCAACAGCTCCTCCTCGCACTCCTCAAACGTTTCATCTGCTGCTGCGCCATTATACCCTGCTAAACCGACGCTTGTCCCGCCGTACCCTGCTGCACTGCTCCCTGTCCCGTACCCGGGTTGCAGTGAGGACGCGTACCCCCCTGCTCCTCCTCCGCCCGCTGCTGCTGCTAGTCCCTGTGGTTCTGATTGTGATGCAGCGGTGGGATTGCTGGCGTGGGAAGGAGGGCCGAAGACAGGAACGAACTCTGCAGCGTGCGGGTTGAGGCTCATGCCGCTCAGGTCTAGGGATCTACGCACAGTGGAGGCGGCTGAGGAGGGCCCGGGAGAAAAGGAGGAGAGTGAAAGGCGTCTGGTTCCTGCTACAGATGATGCTACAGTTGATGCTACAGCTGGAGATTGAGCTGAGCCTACATTTGATCCTACAGTTGTTCCTATGTTAGATGTTACAGGTGCTCCCTCAGTCGACGCTACAGCTCCTCCTGTGGAAGCTTCTTGAGTGTGTGAGACGGTGGGAGATGATACAGGATCGAACCTGGTTTGGTAGAAGAGAAGGGCGCAACAACCAGCAGCAGCACAGTCAAGGCACGTGCAGAACAGCAAAGGATGACAGCAAGAGTGACAAAGGAAAACGGGTACGAGGGGAGGAAGAGATAATTCAGTTCAAAAACTGTTGCATACGTTGGAAAGCTAGAGCTTGTGTGGGAACAGTGGACAATGACACGAATATTGCAAAGAAGGGAAAGAGCATGTTGACAAGTTGACAACCAGCCAACCGCCACACACTACTTACTGTTTCACATCGAACTTACAGTGTAGCAACCCCTTCTTGATCGTGCGTTGCTCTGCCCTGATTAGCAAGGCCAGAGCCTAACGGAGATGCCTGTAGTGAAGCGCTCTGTAACGGAGATGCCGGGGATGCCTGCGCCTGCTCAGTCATCTTGAGCTTCTGCACCTGATGCAGCAGACCGTCCATGCTGTGCTCTGTGCCTCGCTGCATGCATGAAGAGACACAGGGCAGCAGAGAAACACACACATAAGCGTGAATTGAGTAGTATTGAAACACTCTGTAGTGGGTACGCCTGGGCTGGCGGCGCCTCGGTCATCTTGAGCTTCTGCACCTGATGCAGCAGACCATCCATGCTGTGCTCTGTGCCTCGCTGCAACATGGGCATGGGCATGGGAGGACACACACAAGGCAGCAGACACACGCACAGGCGTGAGTTGCAACAAAGCCCTCCCATGCCCATGCCCATGGTGCAATGAAGCACTCTGTAACAGGACGTCTGGGCCCTGGGCCTTAGGCCTGCCTCTCCAACATCTTCAGCTTCTGCACCTGATGCAGCAGACCGACTTTGCTGTGCTCTGTTCCTCGGTGCACGCATGCAGACACACAGGGCAGCAGACACACACACACACATAAGCGTGAATTGAGTAGTAATGAAGCACTCTGTAGTGGGTACGCCTGGGGCTGGCGGCGCCTGCTCGGTCATCTTGAGCTTCTGCACCTGATGCAGCAGACCATCCATGCTGTGCTCTGTGCCTCGCTGCATGCATGCATGCATGCATGCGCCATGGGGCAAAAGAAACAGTAGCAGGCAAACAAGCACGGACTTCACAATAAATAGCAGAAAAAAGAGACGCCTTACAACCATGTTGCACACATGATGACAGGGTGAAACGGACAGACAGAAATGTTCCGCAGCAAGGCAAGAATGCAAGCAAAATTTGAAACAATGGTAAAGCAGAACACGATGTGGATGAGGCAGAAAAGCTAATGTGTTCACAGGGAAAGGAAAACAACTAGCGAAGAAAGAAAGCAAAGTATGACATACAAACAGGCTGGGCACGTCACAATAGTAGGAAGAAGGGGAAAGGATGGGTGGAGGGGGGTTGAGGATGGAGGAGAGGAGGAAGGGGGAGGATGGGGAGAGGGATTACTGACAGCAGGGGAGAGTCCGTGGGAGTCTACAGTTGTCTTGCGCTTTCGGCTGCTGGCAGGAGGCGCTGACTGGCTGGTGGATAGGCTGTAGCATGGGGAGAGTTCGAAGGAGAAGGAGATATGCAAAAGAAAAACATAGGTACGCAGTGCAAGTGAATATTGAAATGTTTCACACGGCTAGCTATGCATGTCTCATGGCACATGACGCATGACATGGCATGCGTTGCTCACTGCTGCCGAGGCGCGAGATACATGACATGGCATGGTACACTGCTCATCCGTGTCTCACTGGGTCATGATACATGCATGGCACGCATGGCATGGCACGGCATGGCATCGTATGGCATTGCTCACTGGCCGAGGTATGAGACGTAGTCATCCGTGTCGCAGCAGGGCGCGTCGAGAAAGTCGGACACCAGCCGCTTGACAGCGAGGTTGGCTCGTGGCGCATGGCATGTCATGGCTCACTGCCTCGAGACGCACGGCATGGCATGACACGCGATGCATGGCATGGAAAAGCATGGCTTACTGGCCGAGGTAAGAGACGTAGTCATCCGTGTCGCAGCAGGGCGCGTCGAGAAAGTCCGACACCAGCCGCTTCACAGCGAGGTTGGCGAGCTTGCGGTCAGCAGCTCGAGGCATCAGCGAGCCACACAAGCGAGCGGATTGGTAACACCGTAACACTGTCAGAAAACCCTATTTGCTGTTGGGCCAATATGAAGCTTGGTACAGAAGAGAGGAAGGAAAAGAGAAAAAGGCAAGATAAACGGAACCGCGATCAGATAAGTTAAACAATGAGGAGATCCCAATGTGAGGTGACTTGGATTGAAATGTACGTTGATTTTATACGCTGATGCCAGTTTAGATTCGCGCGTGATCGCGAAGGATTTGGAATTGCATCATCAGGCTGCTGAGGGACCGACGAAGGGGAATTCAAGAGGCTCAACAATGACCGGGAGGGGACTTGTGACAGAGTGAAACGAGAGAAGCGCACGAACGGCTCACGACGAAAGCATGGTGATTATGAGGGAGAGGCTGAATTCTGAGTCTGCTCAAAAGAGGTGGCCGAGGAGGGGAAGGCAACAGGGGACTCATAAAGTCACTGGGTGAGGGCTGTAGGAGAGGAAGGAGACGCTTTAATTAGCGTTCCTGGTAACGAAAACTGACGGGTGGAGATAACGGAATTTAGGAGAATAATTGCTTACTCTGCAGAAGGAAAAGCTGGGAAAAGGCTGGCCTTCAGAGTGCTGAAATCAGTCAATAAAAGTAAGAATGGCTTATGCGAATCCAAGGTATGAAGTTAGAGAACCGCAGAACTAGCCTAAACTGGTAGATCGCCACGCAAATTCGCGGAAGCACTTCCTGACAATTTGACCTACCAACTATTGTGCTTAGCTCATAAAAGCTTATGGCTGGCCATGGTGAAGCTCGACCATGCAAAGCAGTCCCAACATGGCAGTTGGGAGCAGCAACTCCCAAGACAAGAGGCCTGCTGCCTTTCCGCTAAAAAGCAGCCCCGTAGCGAATTACATACTAAAGTTTTCACTAACAATGTAGTACACGATAAACTTTCCAGAAACATGTAAAGCATTGTAAGGTGTGTGTACGTAATTATTCGTATCAAGTTTGGACTCATAGATATCTAATTTGATTATCCAATGTCTCAATATAGGACATAATGCATCATAATCTCGATATAATATATTTCCTTCAATACGTAATCAAAACTGATCCATGAAGCAATAGTTAAATATTATTTTATATTCATATTGTTATATAAAAAATCTTAAATGTATATTTATGTATTGGTAATATATACTAATATGCCCGGGTAATACTAAATAATCAACTACCATATTCTCGTATCAAATAGCTTAATTCACTGTGGTACGGAATGGAGCAGCTCTTATTGCCGTTAATTCATCCGAGTTCCCGCCAAAAGGGAGCCTGCTCCACCTCGAGATTACTGCCGCACCGCCTTATCAATTCACAGCATCGCCGCTCCATTACACCAACCGCCATTACAACCATCAGTCATCTCGTCGCTTTCTCACCTTTGCCTCCTAGCCAAGTCTTGCTTTCTCCTAACCAAGCACCTCGTCAGGTCAGCTCCAAGTCCAAGCGTCACCATGGCGCCGTTCCGATGCGTAAGCGCGCGGTCACCGCCGCGCGCAACGCTTCCGCACAGTCGAAGCGCGGTATGTCGTTCGAGCTTGCCTCCTAGCGGTACACAATGCGACAGACGACAGATGGCAGGTCGCCCCCACGTTCCGCTCCGTGAATCACGGACAACGCCGCTCGTGCGGCGAATAGTTCAAATGCTTTGAATTTCTAACGACGCGAGAAAATAGTCCACCTGGGTCACAATACCTCATTATTCGCCAGCTTTTCCATATCAGAAGCTGCGAAGGCGAAAGTGACGTCGCGCAGCTGGTCGCACAGGTCGCCGCAGAGATCATCGCATAGGTCGTCGTGCAGTTTGATGAGGTAGAGAATTGATCATCCGTTTTTTCAGGCGCCTCAAAGCTCAATGAAGTAGAGTATTGATCATACGCGTCACCGCCGCCGAGTTTCGAGATTTCTTGTGAGTTCGGAGACTTCTTGTGTTCTAAGAATCCTCGGGACTTCTCATTTTGAGACGTCTCAAAACTACTCTTTTTACACGTGTTTTGTGAGTTAGGAGACTTCTTGTGATCGCTGAATCCTGGGGACTTCTCATTAACTGTCGTGCAGTGAGATTCAACGATCGGTCGCGCCGTCTTAAGTGTCATCGGCCTCTCGAGGCCGCAGTGCCACTGCTAACGCCACCGCGACCATCATTACCACCAGCATTATTTAGAAACGGCGCACCTACTGCAGTCAATTCACAAGCAACAGAGGGAGCAATCGAGAATGAGATTAGGAATTCTGAAGGGGATACGGCCGTCCACGGACTCCATGATGGCACGATCAACGGTTAGGATGCCACGAACGGCGCCGCTCCCATCATCACCATCGATTGCATCATCATCGCCGTCGCCAAAGTCACCCCCGTGCGACTTTAGTCGTCTAGAGGAATTCCAATTTCACTTGGCGGATTTTGGCAGATGGGAACACCAAGAAACGCCTGGTTTGGTGCGGCATGAGAAATCTGATGAGACTTTTGGGAGGAGCGAAGAAGAGGTGATTGGTACACTCTGCATGGAAACTACAGAGATTGTTGCTGAGATGAACGTGGGGGGATTTGTGAAAAGGAATCTGGAGGTTGTTGAGTCCAGTCAGAAGTATGGAGGTGTTGTTGAGAGGGATGAGGAGCAGATGGGCAAGAGACGCGTGAGAAATGGGAAGGAACGGAGAAAAACGAACAGCAGTGACGTCACGCGCGGCGCTATAACAGGAGGAACCCTCGCCTTTGTCACCCTGCTGCTGATGTCAGTCACGTCGACATTAGCGCAGGCATCACCTGCACCAGCACCGCCTTCCCCTGCAACACCCCTCAAGTCCTTATCATCAGCAGCAGCACCGCACTTCCTTGTCTCATCACCAGCACCACCACCACCCACCCCTGCATCTTCAACAGCAGCAGCAGCAGAAGCAGCAGCAGAAGCAGAAGCGATAGCAGACTCTTCCGCTGCAGCTCACATTTCGTCAGTCCCAATTGGTGCGGGCAGTGGTCCTGATGCTGCTGTTGGTGATGCTGTGAGAAGCGATGTCATGACAAGTGGTGCCACCCTTCTTGCTGGTGAGTTTTTGGGAAACATAGGAGGAGGAGAGAGGGGGAAGTACTCGAGGGTGATGGGGGAAGGGAGGGGAGAAAAAGGGTCAGGAGAGAGGGTCAAGAGGAGGGGTAATCTCGTCTTTGGGTTTCCTTACGAGAGGGCCACAGCAGGAGGGAAAGGAAGCTTGCTGTATTCTTTGACTCAGTGCTGTTTCTCACACGTTATCTTGGCTCTGATTCTCCCCATTCACTCCCCTTTCTACCCTCGTCCCTCCCACAGCCAACCAGTCAGACACCATCCCCGACCCGATAATCCGCCCGCCCCCGACCGGCCCCTTCTCGCTCTCCCCCCTGCCGCCTCCCATCCGCGGACCCATCGTCCCCGCACCCCCCGCCCCGTGCTTCGGGGTCACGGTGGCCTATGTGATAGAGAGTATCATCAACATCCCGTCTGTGTGGAATGGGAGTGTGAAGCCGTATGGGTTCAAATCCAAGATCGAGCTACTCAACACTGGCAAGAGGTCAGAATCTTTCTTTCCTCCATCTTCTTCTTCCTCTTCTCCCCCTCCTCCTCCCCCTCTTCCTGTTCCTCTCCTCCTTGCTGCGAGGTCACGGTGGCCTATGTGATAGAGAGCATCATTACCATTCCATCGGTGTGGAATGGGACTGTGAAGCCATATGGGTTCAAGTCCAAGATCGAGCTACTCAACACCGGCAAGAGGTCAGGTCCCGTTCTTAATCTCCTTTCCCTCTACGTCCTATCTCTGTCCATGCAACAAGCAACAAGAGACTAGCAACTAGGAAAACAAAAAGAGCTCTTATAAAGGAAAGGAAACAAAAACCGAAACGTTTAACAATAAAATGCCATGTTTCCCATGTTTCTCACCACCAAGACCAGGTGGGGTTGTTGGAGGTGAGAATGGATTTCACCTGCAACGAGCTCCCCTCACTCAAATCTTACCATGTTTCACTCCTCTCTCGTCTTGTCTCTCTTCGTACCTTGCACCACTGGGACCTGGTCGGGTGGGAGGTGAGGGTGGAGTTCACTTGCAACGAGCTCATCACTCCACTGTTCCCCCTTGCGTCCATGTGCTTCCCCAACCCTCTCAAACTCTCTCAACCCATCTGAACCTGTGCATGACAGGGACCTGGTGGGATGGGAGGTGAGGGTGGAGTTCACTCGTAACGAGCTCATCACGCTGCTGGGGAACACTCAAGTGGAGTTTGAGCTGCCATACCCTGGTGAGAGGCCGTACCCAGCGCGGTGAGGTGCGATAGGCAATACACTCCCTCTGTTCTGCATCCTGCTTAATTGCCCTTTCTGGGGTGAGCTACCACCCACGACTTTTGGGACGTCTCAAAAACTGCCCATTCTGGGGGTGAGCTGCCAGCCAATGTGTGATTGAACAAGCACACGAGGACCTCATTACTCTGCTGGGCAACACTCAAGTGGAGTTTGAACTGCCATACCCCCTGGTGGGTAGGATGCCATCCAAGCTACCCCATCACTGCACTGAGGCAATAAGGGGCTCCTCTTTAACCCCATCTCACATTACCTGCCTCTTTTCCCCCATTCCTTCCTTAAGTCGGTTTTTGAGTCGACTCAAAAACCTACCCCATCACTGCACTGAGGCAATAAGAGGCTCCTCCTCTCACATTACCTGCCTCTTTTCCCCCATTCCTTCCTTAATCCCCCCCCTAGCCCCTGCCATTCCCCCCACAGGCTCCTCACTTCTGTTCTCCAGCATTGACGAACAGAGCGGTTGACTCATCACTGTACACTAAGAGAGGAGGAGTCCCACACACACTACCTGCCTCTCCCCATTTTTCCCCATTCCCCCCTTTCCGCTGCACCCACAGGCTCAGCGCCGCTCTTCTCCAGCAGTGACAACCAGAGCGACCGACTCATCACTACACTGAGGGAATACTGGTCACCAGGGGCGCTTACACTACCTCCCCCCTTGTCATTGCCGCTCCCCCCTTCAGGTTCCGCGCTCCTATTCTCCAGCATTGATGATCAGAGCGACCGCCTCATCACGGCAATCCACGCGGGCGGCGACGTTCGGCAGTATGTGGTGTTTGCGGAGGTGTTTGGCACGGAGTTTGGGGCGGCGACTGCTGGCAAGGCGCTCCCGCGCACACTGTACCTCACGACACCAGGTGGGTGGGTTTTGAGACGTCTCAAAACTCTTCTTTCTTCACAAGGCGCTCCTGCGTACACTCTACCTCACGACACCAGGTGGGTGGGTTTTGAGACGTCTCAAAGCTCTTCTTTCTTCACAAGGCGCTCCTGCGTACACTCTACCTCACGACACCAGGTGGGTGGGTTTTGAGACGTCTCAAAACTCTTCTTTCTTCACAAGGCGCTCCCGCGTACACTCTACCTCACGACACCAGGTGGGTGGGTTTTGAGACGTCTCAAAACTCTTCTTTTTTCACAAGGCGCTCCCGCGTACACTCTACCTCACGACACGAGGTGGGTGGGTTTTGAGACGTCTCAAAACTCTTCTTTTTTCACAAGGCGCTCCCGCGTACACTCTACATCACGACACCAGGTGGGTGGGTTTTGAGACGTCTCAAAACTCTTCTTTTTTCACAAGGCGCTCCCGCGTACACTCTACCTCACGACACCAGGTGGGTGGGTTTTGAGACGTCTCAAAACTCTTCTTTTTTCACAAGGCGCTCCCGCGTACACTCTACCTCACGACACCAGGTGGGTGGGTTTTGAGACGTCTCAAAACTCTTCTTTCTTCACAAGGCGCTCCCGCGTACACTCTACCTCACGACACCAGGTGGGTGGGTTTTGAGACGTCTCAAAACTCTTCTTTCTTCACAAGGCACTCCTGCGTACACTCTACCTCACGACACCAGGTGGGTGGGTTTTGAGACATCTCAAAACTCTTCTTTTTTCACAAGGCGCTCCCGCGTACACTCTACCTCATGACACCAGGTGGGTGGGTTTTGAGACGTCTCAAAACTCTTCTTTCTTCACAAGGCGCTCCCGCGTACACTCTACCTCACGACACCAGGTGGGTGGGTTTTGAGACGTCTCAAAACTCTTCTTTCTTCACAAGGCGCTCCCGCGTACACTCTACCTCACGACACCAGGTGGGTGGGTTTTGAGACGTCTCAAAACTCTTCTTTCTTCACAAGGCACTCCTGCGTACTCTCTACCTCACGACACCAGGTGGGTGGGTTTTGAGACGTCTCAAAACTCTTCTTTTTTCACAAGGCGCTCCCACGTACACTCTACCTCACGACACCAGGTGGGTGGGTTTTGAGACGTCTCAAAACCCTTCTTTTTTCACAAGGCGCTCCCGCGTACACTCTACCTCACGACACCAGGTGGGTGGGTTTTGAGACATCTCAAACCTCTTTTTTTTTCACAAGGCGCTCCCGCGTTCACTCTACCTCACGACACCAGGTGGGTGGGTTTTGAGACGTCTCAAAACTCTTCTTTTTTCACAAGGCGCTCCCGCGTACACTCTACCTCACGACACCAGGTGGGTGGGGCTTTCTTACCCACGACCAAACGGCCCCTCGACTCAACTTACTTCACCTGGCACCTGTTGCCCAGGGTATAGGTGTGTTCCTCTTTCAAGACATCGTGGATTGTTTCCGTTCAAGCTCCAGCATGCAATGTCTCAAACACTGGTTGCATTGGTGGGGTAAATAAGCCACATGTAGCCCGCTCATCTCTCCTCCCCTTCTTCCCTTCTCTGCTGCAAACTTTTGCTGTGTGTCAACCTTTCCCCCATCAATCCAAGGACCTTCTGAGATCTCTCTATCGCTTCTGCTTCCTTGCCTATCCTCCCACCCCTCTGTCTCCCCATCCCTACTTTCCCCCTTCCTATGCAGGCTTCCACTGTGCATCCAACCGCCCTCAGTTCCCGTCTCCCAACAGGATTCAGGTGAGCTTGCAAGCACGAACATTTTTTGGCGGCACCTCAAAAATAGAATCCAGCCGCCCTCACTTCCAATCTCCCAACAAGATTCAGTTGAATGCATAGAAGGGCACCTGTTTATCCCTGACAGCACGTGAATGCATAGAAGGGCACCTGTTTATCCCTGACAGCACGTGAATGCATAGAAGGGCACCTGTTTATCCCTGACAGCACGTGAATGCATAGAAGGGCACCTGTTTATCCCTGACAGCACGTGAATGCATAGAAGGGCACCTGTTTATCCCTGACAGCACGTGAATGCATAGAAGGGCACCTGTTTATCCCTGACAGCACGTGAATGCATAGAAGGGCACCTGTTTATCCCTGACAGCACGTGAATGCATAGAAGGGCACCTGTTTATCCCTGACAGCACGTGAATGCATAGAAGGGCACCTGTTTATCCCTGACAGCACGTGAATGCATAGAAGGGCACCTGTTTATCCCTGACAGCACGTGAATGCATAGAAGGGCACCTGTTTATCCCTGACAGCACGTGAATGCATAGAAGGGCACCTGTTTATCCCTGACAGCACGTGGATGCATAGAAGGGCACCTGTTTATCCCTGACAGCACGTGAATGCATAGAAGGGCACCTGTTTATCCCTGACAGCACGTGGATGCATAGAAGGGCACCTGTTTATCCCTGACAGCACGTGAATGCATAGAAGGGCACCTGTTTATCCCTGACAGCACGTGAATGCATAGAAGGGCACCTGTTTATCCCTGACAGCACGTGGATGCATAGAAGGGCACCTGTTTATCCCTGACAGCACGTGGATGCATAGAAGGGCACCTGTTTATCCCTGACAGCACGTGAATGCATAGAAGGGCACCTGTCACCCGTACCTCACTTGAATCCGTGCACTTGTTTGCTCTAACTCCCACTCTCAAACCGTGTACTTCTCAACCCTCAAACACAAGTCTGCTCTGCTACGTAATGTGCCTTGCTTAAAACCTTTCCTTTCCCTGTTGCTGACTCTTCTTTTATTCCCGACTCCCCATTCCCATCCAATCCCCCTCCTCTCAGGTCTGCTGCAAAGAAACCGCCTATCCGCCTCCCCCTCCTCCTCGCCCCCCTGCCCGCCTTCCCCCAGTCATCCCAGCTTTAACGGTCCAGATCGACGTGACAGCAGCGAGCGATCTGGACCATCAGATGCTCGTCACGATCCGCAATCTGCAGGCGGACAGGCGTGTTGGGCCCCCAAGACACGAGCCGTGGGCGCTCAGCTGGCGATGGACTCAGAATGAGGTGTGGGAAGGGTGTAGAGTTCAAGGTGGGGAGGGAATATGGTGTAAGCAGAGGACGGTTTGGGATTCAATTGTGAAAGAGAAGAAACCTATGACCCCCTTGGAGCAATCTTTTGAGACGTCTCAAAAGCCATGTGTATGCAGAAGTGTTTGGAGACGTCTCAAAACACTTCTTCATACACGTGTAAGCAGAGGACGGTTTGGGATTCAATTGTGAAAGAGTAGAAACCTATGACCCCCTTGGAGCAATCTGCAGCCCGACAAGCTTGTTGGGCCAAGCAATCTGCAGCCCGACAAGCTTGTTGGGCCAAGCAATCTGCAGCCTCCGAGGAACGACTCCTGGGCGCTCACCTGGCGACGGACGCAGAATGAGGTCCTTTCTTTTCTGTTAGGCTTGGGTTGGAGCTCAAGGTTTGAGGTCTAAAGTTTGGATTTGGGTCTGGGTTTTGTAGAAGAAGGTGCGGACCCCGAGCTGCAAACCCTACACCCTAAACCAGAAACCCCTGGGCGCTCAGCTGGCGACGGATGCAGCGAGGTGAGGCGGGTTTCAGTTTTAGGGTGTTGGTGGGTTTTACGGGTTCTTCTACGGCCTGCAGTACAGCAATCACCAGCACCCACTCGTGCTCCTCCTGCCCACCCCGCTTCCCTTTCTCCCATTCCCAACCAGGCTCCCTGCTGCCCCACCCACACACAAATTCCTCTCCCCCATCTGTTGCTCTCAGATTGCTTGGGATGGAAAGCATATGGGGCATACCAGCGACACAGCAAGGCAACTGCCAGCAGAAATCCGCCTCCTTTGCCATCGATGGAGCAGCCATCGCCAATGCCCACTCCTGCTACTCTTGTCCTATATTCCTCTCTCTTCCACTCAGATCATGTGGGGGGCATACGGAGCACAGGCGACACAACAGGGCAACTGCCAGCAGCATTCTGCCTCGTCCGCAGTCTACAGAGCGGCCATCGCCACCACCCACTCGTGCTCCTACCTTTCCCGCTCTTTCACACTGCCCTTTCCAACCCAGCTCCCTGCCCCCCACGCGCGCACATTCTCCTACCCTTCTCTTCCACTCAGATCGTGTGGAAAGCATCTGGGGCACAGGCGACACAACAGGGCAACTGCCAGCAGCAGTCCGCCACCTCCGCAGTCTACAGGGCAGCTATCGCCACCGCCCACTTGTGCAAACCTTCCCCTCTTTCTCCCACTCCCAACACCCTCTGTTGACTGTTGACTCCCAGATTGTATGGGAGGCATCTGGGGCACAGGCGACCCAACAAGGCAACTGCCAGCAGCAGTCCGCCTCCTCCGCAGTCTACGGGGCAGCCATCGCCACCGCCCACTCGTGCTCGCCCCGGCCCACCTTTGTGGATCTGCCTAGCGGGGCGTATGGCAGTGAGAGTGGGCGGGACCTGGGGGCCACCCTGGGAGTGCGCCTCTCCTGCTGCAAGAACGGGTCCATCGGGTTGCGCTCGTTTCCATATGGCGACCCTGCGCTTGCCCAGTACCAGGTGGGTGGGTGGGAGGGAGGCTTTCACCCTGTGCGCTGGGGGGGCGTACGGCAGTGAGAGTGGGCGGGACCTGGGGGCCACCCTGGGAGTGCGCCTCTCCTGCTGCAAGAATGGCTCCATAGGGCTGCGCTCGTTTCCATATGGCGACCCTGCGCTTGCCCAGTACCAGGTGGGTGGGTAGGAGGGAGGCTTTCACCCTGTGCCTTGGGGGGGCGTACGGCAGTGAGAGTGGGCGGGACCTGGGGGCCACCCTGGGAGTGCGCCTCTCCTGCTGCAAGAATGGCTCCATAGGGCTGCGCTCGTTTCCATATGGCGACCCTGCGCTTGCCCAGTACCAGGTGGGTGGGTAGGAGGGAGGCTTTCACCCTGTGCCTTGGGGGGGCGTACGGCAGTGAGAGTGGGCGGGACCTGGGGGCCACCCTGGGAGTGCGCCTCTCCTGCTGCAAGAACGGGCCTGCGCTCGTTTCTGTATAGCGACCCTGCTCTCGCTCACTACCAGGTGGGTGGGTATCCTGTCTCTGTCCGGGGGGTGTTGTTGTCTCTGTCCGGGGGGTGTTGTTGTCTCTGAGAGTGGGCAGGACCAGGGGGACACCCTTGGGGTGCGCCTGTCATGCTGCAAGAACGGGTCTATAGGCCTGCGCTCGTTTCCCTATGGTGACCCTGCTCTCGCTCACTACCAGGTGGGTGGGTGGGTGGATGGGTGGGTGCGTGGGAGTGGGCAGTCCGTCCCTCCATCTCAATCACCCTATACCCCTCCTCCCAACCCCCCCCTCCTAACGCATCAGCCACTCTCTCGCTCCGTTCCGCCTGCCCATCGGTCAAACGAGCCAGTCATTCCCCTCCATCACCGGCCATTCTTTACACTATCACTCTATTCCCATCTTCTATTTCCTTCCCTCCCCTTCCGTGCCTTCTCCCATGAGGGCAACACCTCTCTGGCTCAGTTCCGCCTCCGCATCGGCTGCACGCGCCAGTTCAAGAGCATCCCCGCCATCGCCCCACCTTTTACCTGTCTGCAACCCTCCCTTCCATGCAACCCCTTCTACTTCCCTTCTCCCATCAGGGCAACACCTCCTTGGCTCAGTTCCGCCTCTGCATCGGCCGCACGTGCCAGTTCACGCAACAGTCCATGCCATGTCACACCATTCATGTGCACCCTTCCTTCTTATCTCCTATCCCCATCAGGGCAACACCTCCTTGGCTCAGTTCCGCCTCCGCATCGGCCGCACGTGCCAGTTCACGCAACAGTCCATGCCATGTCACACCATTCATGTGCACCCTTCCTTCTTATCTCCTATCCCCATCAGGGCAACACCTCCTTGGCTCAGTTCCGCCTCCGCATAGGCCGCACACGCCAGTTCAAAGCCATTCCCTCCATCGCTCCGCCGCGCAACCTCTCCCTCGGCCTCCCTGGAATAGTCTGCTCTGCTGGTGTTCGCATCGACTCCACCCAGTTCCCAGTGAGTCACATTGCACGCATGCTTTGTCTTTCTCAGGTGTTCTGGTGGTGTTCTGGTGGTGTTCTGGTGGCACTAGGTCTTAAGGTCGCACGCGCCAGTTCAAGGCCATCCCCACCATCGCTTTACCTTGCAACCTCTCCATCAGCCTCCGGGGAAGAGTTTGTTCTGCTGCCGTCCCCATCGACCCCACCCAGTTCCCGGTGAGTCACTGGCAGGGCCTTGCACTTCTAGTCTAGGGTTACATCAGTTCACATCGGGTTCGAATGGCCCTAGGTTTCTAGCTCTTCTCGCTCCCACGCGCCAGTTCAAGGCCATCCCCTCCATCACTCTGCCTCGCAACCTCTCCCTCAGCCTCCCGGAACTGTCTGTTTCCCTGCCGACCGCGTCGACCACACCCAGTTCCCAGTGAGTCGATGGGATTAGCAGCAGCTGGAAAAAGGGCGTGGGCTTGTAGCTACTTCATCTTATCCTACCACTTCCAAACACCCCGCGCTCCCACACCCTCCCCCACTCCCATCAGGTCAACCCCTCTCGCAACCTATCAGCGGTCGCCACGTGGCGCTACGCCTGCTACCGCGACCCTTCCTCCCCGCCTCCTCGCCCCGCCTGCTGCGTGTCTTTCTCAGCCGCTTTCAACAACACCGGCTCCCCTCAGGGCGCCTGGGGTAGCATCTTTGGCCGCAGCAGCAGCACCGGCAGTGGCAGCGGACAGTTCTATGTGTCTCCCTGCAAAAGCTGCGCCTGTGGATGCCCAGGGGAGGCTGTTTCTTCGTCTTCCTCCTCCTCTTCCCCCTCCTCCTCCTCCTCCGCCTCTTCCGCTTCCCTGTCCTCGGTTTCTCCTCCTACCTCTTCGTTCTCCCCCCCATCGCTTTCGAGTATCCTCCTCGTTGTTCCGTCTGCTGGGAATGGGACGGCTACTAACAGTAGCAGCTATCGCAATGTGGGGCTCCGTGATTGGCCGATGTGTTCTGCTCCTGGTGCGTGATTGGCCCACATGTGCTGCACCTGGTGTGTGATTGGCCCGTGTATGCTGCTCCTGGTGGGTCTTGATCCCGCGTAATCTTCCCATTCTCCTCTTTATTCTCTTGCAGTGTTCCATCCTACTTCTCTCATTCCCTTCCTCCTCTCCTCCTTTTCTCCACCTTACCTCATAATGCCCTCCCTACCTTCCCTTCTCCCTTCCTTCCCTCCTCCCCTCCTGCCCTCCTCCCCTCCTTCCCTTCCCCTCTCCCTCCTATATCCCTCACTTGGTGCATTCAGATACGTTGTTTGATACGATCGGTGGCAGGGGCGATGTGGTCCCTTCCAAGAAGCTTCCCAGCTGGTATGGCAAGGACAGGGATTTTATTTCTGCCCGGTGCCGCGACAGCTGCCCGATCCACCTGCACTGGCACGTGGTGGCAGTGTATGAGGACGGATTCGTTGCCAAGGTGGGTTTGATCATGTCCTCTTTATAAGGCATCGATCTGTTAAGAAACAAACACAAACGTGTACATGCGGGATCCATCTGCACTGGCACGTGGTGGCAGCATACGAGAACGGATCTGTTGCCAAGGTGGGTTTGATTCTTTTCCTCCCTTCATTCATAGCGACATTGCTTTCAAGAGCATACACCTGGCAGTACACCACGTGGTGGCCGTGTTTGAGGACGTATTCGTTGCCAAGGTGGGCTGAATGACAATGGCTCGTACACACACACACACGATTGAAGAGCATGCACAGCACACACTTCACCTGCACTGGCACGTGGTGGTGTCAGTATATGAAGATGGATTTTTCGCCAAGGTAGGCTGAATGGCATGGCACGCACACACGATTGAAGAGCATGCACACTCACAATTGAAGAGCATGCACACTCACAATTGAAGAGCAGGTGTGTTTCCTCTCTTCCCCACCACTCTCCCCCCTGCCCCATCTGCTGCCATCAGCTGAGCATCATCAACCGGGGCAACAACAGTGTGTCTGACTGGGTAGCACTCATCGCCCTCCCTTCCATCGCCAACACCTCTACCATCTACTCATTCGGATACGCCAATGTGTCTGGTACGACCCTTTCTTTGAGACACTCTTGTCTTTGAGACCCTCCCGTTGAGGCTCAAGGCCTAGCCTATGCTGCGTAGGGCTGTGTGCACCAGTGTCTGACTGGGTAGCACTCATCACGCCCCCTTCCATCGCCAACACCTCTGCCATCTACTCGTTCGGATACGCCAATGTGTCTGGTACGACCCTCCGATAGACGGTCCGGGGTTTGGGCAGTTTAGGGTGGTGTGAACTAGCCTCTGACTGGGTCGCACTCATCACCCTCCCTTCAATTGCCAACACCTCTGCCATCTACTCGTTTGGATACGCCAATGCCTTGGGTACGGCCCTTTGTTTAAGGTGCCGTCTAGGGTGGGTGCATCAGTCTCTCACTGTGTCTCATCGCCCTCCCTTCCATCGCCAACAACTCTGCCATCTACTCGTTTGGATACGCCAATGCCTCGGGTACGACCCTCTGTCAACATCTCTGGTACCACCCTTGGAGAAAATACCTTGGGTCTTCATGTTTCCGGATTTCCTATTGGTGTTTGGTTTGTCATCAGCCTTTGTCTCTCCCTTTCTCACCAGTCCCACTGCTCTCCTCGCTTCTCTCCCACCCTTTCTCTCTGCTCTCTCCTCGCTTCTCTCCCACCCTGTGCCATTGAAACGAGGTGACTTTTGAGTCAACTCAAAAGTCGCTTCATTTCCTATTTGTGTTCAGTTTCTCATCAGCCTTTGTCCCTCCCTTTCTCACTTCTCTCCTCGCTTCTCTCCCACCCTTTCTCTCTGTTCTGCTCTGTTCTCCCTTCCCTCCCTTTCGCTCTCCTCTCCTCCCTTCTCTTCCTTCCGTTCGCTCTGCTTTGCTCCTTTCTCTCCCTCCCTTTCTCTCCGCCTTGCCTTGGTCTGCCATTTGATTTTCCCCAGCCACGTCCTGCCTCCCCTACGGCTTCACAGGCAGCACAGCTGGCTGGAAGGCACGCCTCATCCCCTCAAGGCACATCTCTTTTCCACCCCTCCTCACTATCCAACCACCTCCCGCGTGCTATACGGCTGCACAGGCAGCAACAGCTGGCTGGAAGGCACACCGTCTCCCCCTTTCCCCCTCCCCCACCTTTTTCCCCTCCCCCTTCCTCCCTCCCCCCCTCCCCCCCTCCAGCCACGTCCCGCGTGCTCTACGGCTTCACAGGCAGCAACAGCTGGCTGCTAAAGACGCTGCCGCTAGAGGCACGCGGCATCCCCTCAAAGCGCCTCTGCCCCCCCTGCTTTGCCCCTTCTCTTTCCCCGCCCCCCTCCAGCCACGTCCCGCATGCTCTACGGCTTCACAGGCAGCAACAGCTGGCTGGAGGGAACACCGTCTCCCTTCAAGGGGAAGAGCTTTGGCAACGTGCAGAGCATTTTCAAGGTGTGCAGTGGTTTGCCTGTCTGATCAGCTGTGGCTGAGCAGTAAAGAGGGCTGTAGCAGGGGAATAAGGTAGGCTGTAGCAGCACTGCCTGACCTCAAGGCGAAGAGCTTTGGCAACGTGCAGAGCGTTTTCAAGGTGGGCTGTGGCTAGTGTGGTGGGCTGTGGCTAGTGTGGTGGGCTGTGGCTAGTTTGTCTCTCATGCCCTACCTAATCTCCCTCCCTTCTCTTGGCAGTTCGCTCTGCTCCCAGGGTTCAACCTCACAACAGCCGACGGGAAAAACGTCTTCCCCTCCCTCCTCTCCTTCGACGGCCACCCCTGCTCCATACCAGACCACTTCCCAGTCCGCCAAGCTGCAAAAATGCCCCATCCCTTCATCCCCTCCCCTTTGCCCCCATCCCCCTCCCTTCTCCTTGCAGTTTGGTCTCGTCCCAGGTCTCAGCCTCACAGCAGCTGACGGGAAAAGCCTCTTCCCCTCCCTCCTCTCCTTCGACGGTTACCCTTGTTCCGTGCTCCCACTCTTCCCTCTCTCCTGACCCTCATTCTTTCCTCCCTCTCTTCCTTCCGTCTTACTCTCTTCCCTCTCTCCTTGCTTTGCAGTTCGCTCTGCTCCCAGGGTTCAACCTCACAGCAGCTGACGGAAAGCACCTCTTCCCCTCACTCCTCTCCTTCGACGGCTATCCTTGCTCCATGCCAGATCACTTCCCGCTCCTCCCTCCGCCTCAGCCGCCCTCCACGGCCATCCCAACGCGATACATCGCTGTCATTGTGGCCGTGCTGCTCGCTGCTGTGCTCATGCTCGGCGTGCGCTTTTAGGACATCTCTTCATGTATACACCACTGCATTGCACTCCCCTCCGCCTCAGCCGCCCGCCACGGCCATTCCCCTGCGATACATTGCTGTGATTGTCACTGTGCTGCTCGCTGCTGTGCTCATGTTTGGTGTGCTGTGCTCATGTTTGGTGTGCTGTGCTCATGTTTGGTGTGCTGTGCTCATGTTTGGTGTGCTGTGCTCATGTTTGGTGTGCTGTGCTCATGTTTGGTGTGCTGTGCTCGTGTTTGGTGTGCTGTGCTCGTGTTTGGTGTGCTGTGCTCGTGTTTGGTGTGCTGTGCTCGTGTTTGGTGTGCTGTGCTCGTGTTTGGTGTGCTGTGCTCGTGTTTGGTGTGCTGTGCTCATGTTTGGTGTGCTGTGCTCGTGTTTGGTGTGCTGTGCTCATGTTTGGTGTGCTGTGCTCATGTTTGGTGTGCTGTGCTCATGTTTGGTGTGCTGTGCTCATGTTTGGTGTGGTGTGCGCTTCTAGATGACTCGCTTATGCATGGATCTCTAAGCCGCCCGTCACATTTGCACCCTCCACAGCCACCCTCCTCAGCACTTCCCTTCCCCTGCGATACATTGCTGTGATTGTCGCGGTGCTGCTCGCTGCTGTGCTCATGTTGGGTGAGCACCTGTAGACTGTCAGGCTCAGATAGCACAGGTAACTTCCACTCGCAGGCACTGCTACAGCCTCCCCTCCTCCTCCCTCCACCTCAGCCTCGCCACTGCCATCACTGTGCTGCTTTCCTGTGCTCATGTTAGTCTGTGTCCATAGAATAAGAGATTAGAACAATGGCACTCATACATCTGAGAAAATATGTTTATTTCCACTACAGGATTGTATTCTACACTCCCCCAGGAAACTGCTGTTAGACCCTACCAGAGAACTACTACCAAGTCACCAACATCCCCACCATCCTATCAACTACACCCACATTTCCAAGTTACCACGATTGTAACCTATTTCATCTACTACTAACGTCCAGAGCTGGTCAATTCATCGACTCACTTTGGGCTATGAAATTCAAAAGGTCTACTTCTTGATGACCAGAGGTCGCATCATGTCGTTATCCTCGTGGTCGAGAATGTGGCAGTGCCACACGTAGCCAGGGCCAGTGGTCGGGTCAAACTCGAACGGCATCATGTCCTGGACACAAGCAGGAGGGCAACAATAGAAAAGATAAGTTGACATAAACTCTTGTTAGTGGGACTGTGGGCCCGTTTTGGTGCACTATCTGGTGTTTGAAGTGCGATGGACGAAACGACAAAACTCACACATCGGAATGATGGGTGTTTCACAGCATACCTGGCGCTTGAATGTGAGAATGAGCTTCAAAACTTCCCCAGGATAGGCCAGGGTGGTGTCCTTCCAGCCCCTCTCATGGTAGCCAACCAGCACCCGGTTACCAGTGTAACAGCTTGGCTTTGTTTTGTCCGTAAATGAGCAACGGCCAGCCTGGTAACCAGCCACATCGAACGGGCGGCGCCAGGCAGGGCGGTGTTGTACAAGATGAACATGCATCGGATGCGCATCAGCTGATAGGTTGATCAAGTACCAGGCCTCAGTATCACCCTGCAAAGATTAAGAAGGCCAGAAAAGGTGCACAATTAGAAAAGAAAGAAAAAATAAGAGACACACACACACACACACACACACACACACACACACACACACACAAAAGGAGCAGAAGTGTAGGCATACCAAGCCACAGTTATTTATCATCATGCCAATAAAACTAACTGAAGAGATGCAATGTACCTGCTTTGGGGTCTCGGTAACAGGGTCCATGTACGACTTGCCATCGATTGTAACACGAATGGGCAGGTTCGTCGCACGATCCATGATCTCCACGAGCGTGGCGTATCGCTCTCTGTTCACCGCGGGCACCTGGGGCATCCACTGCGTTCAGCGAAGAACATGCGAAAGAGGAAACAAGATCAGACGCCCATCTCGACATAGTCAGAGACCGCTCGTTGGTCAGTTAGGCAAGAGGGTAACGACATTCTGCGATTGGACACCGAAAGGTTGAAGGGTCGCGGAGTAATGCTTTTCGGGATGGCGAGGGTGGAAATTCATTATGGATTTGCTTTCTTTTAGATCAATGCGAATAAAAATAAGCGTGAACTTACGCTGATCTTCTTGGGAATAACTGGGGACGGGATGCGCTTCCTGTTCAAAATGTTGATGCGCATCACCACGCCCGTTTCCGCAGTCACGGGCTGGCCCGCGGGGAAGGGCGCGCGGGCGTCGTTCGTTACAATCACGTCCTTGCAGTCCGACGGGACAAGCGAAAAGTCGACGAGGAGATCCACGCGCTCGCCGGGGGCCAGAAGCACCTCGGTGCGGCGCACAGGGCGGACGAGATACCCGCCATCGGTGCCGATCTAAGGATGATGGGACGGAAAAGGGGGGGAGGGACAGGGGAAGGAGGAGGATGCGGACTCGAGAGGAGAGGGGGGCAAAAGAGGCGTGAAGCACTGCCGCGGCGAGTGCGCTCGTCGCCGACAACGAATATACTCTACTCGCCACGTATGTCCGGGTTGCAAAAGGGAACCGCGTGTGCAGGGGAAGACGGTAGGTCACTTTAATGTAACCCGAGGTTTAAGGTTCAGCTTGCCAGGAGATGCCAGGGATTTTCCGCTCACCTGGATGACGGACATCGCGGCGCCCTGGATGGGCGGAATGAAGTTGGGGTAATTGGCGCGCGCGGCGCACACCCACTTGAGGTTGAACACGCGCGCATTGGCGGCGTTGAGCAGGCGCATGCGGTACATTGCGGGGCGCACCCGCATGTACGGCCACACCTGACGAGCAGCAGAAAAGCGCGGGGAAGAAGGGGACAAGACAAGGAGAGAAATAAGTTTTGAGCTGATTTGCTGAGGCGCCTGCTCATCGCCGTTGTCGGGAAGTGATAAATGTCTGAAAACGCGGCAAGACGACGGTTCGATCGGAATGCGACGACGCGTACCGACGATAGTGTTGCCCAGATACTCGGGGTTCAATTTCGGTAGAGGGGAGTTTGAAGTCACCTCACCTCGGTTGAGTCAGACTCGAAAAGGTCATGCTTACCTTGCCGTTGACGACGATAGTGTTGCCCAGATACTCGGGGTTCCAGTTGGGATGCACGCGCGGCACGATTCCGACATTCGGGTAGTTAATCGAACCGTTCGCGAAGAACGTGCGATCCGCAATCGCCAGTGCCACCTCGCGCGCGCCGCTCGGCAACCACCCCAGCTTGCGCTCGTACCCCTTGGGGTCCTTAATCACGTAGAGCCCGCCGATGCCGGCGACGGTATTAAGGCGCGTCCAGCCGAGAGTGTGGTCGTGGTACCAGATCGCAGCGGGGTTTTGCTTGTTGGAGTAGGTGTAGAGACGGGACTTGAACGTGGGCCCCGTTTCGCCGAACTGCGTGAACCACGCTAGTGGGTGGCCGTCGCCGTCGCTTTGCTGCTCACCGCCGTGACGATGCGGCACTGGGAACACGAACGATGATAGCACATACGTCACGGTTAGAATAGGTGGAGAATAAGGAAGAGGCGAAGTGCAGCTTGTGAAGTGAGAGAACGGAGGAGCGATTTGCGAAGAAAGCATTGGTAGTAACAACATGCGAGGCCGAAAATCGCGCTTGTTGCTGCTGCCACAACGAGTCGTCTAAGTGGACATTGTTTGGGGACATACCAACGGGAATGCCACCGAGCTTCGGCTTGGGAATGCCGGGCATGAGAGAGTAGTCTACAGTGAACATGTGTTGCCTGTCCAGCAGGCGATTCTCGAAATACACCTGCGACGCGACACGACGGATCAATAAGAAATCACGAAACAGCATTTTGTAGTGGAGATATCATGTGTTAGCTACAATGCCTGCGAATCATGTAACCAACGCTGTTCGCGACTTACCTTGGTTTCCACGCCACGCTGGGCGACGATGACCGGGCCGGGGTAGTAGGCGGTCTTCTCGTCCTTACCATACACGTACTGCTTCGTCGCAGGCAGATCGCGATGAAATTTCTGTCGGTAGAAAAAAGACAGACAAACAAACAAATAAACAGAAATGAGGGAGCGGTTCAGGCGTATGCAACACAGCATATGAAGCGACACGGGAGAAACGGTGGCGCACCGAAGCTGAATGGGCTGCATTCGCAATGACGCGTACTACGGGAAACCCACAATGACGCATGGCATAGTAA